TTTTAATTGTACCAATAACTGTTTTTTAATTGCGATAATTGATAAGTCTGAAATACACCCTTGACCTTGTGTATTATCTCAACAAAGTTTAAAGATTTTACCTTTTCCTCTCCGATTAGTACTTTAACACACTTAAATTCATCACAAGGAACACTATTATACTCCATTTTCACTAAACTTTAAAAAAGCATAAATTTTCAACTCGCAATATTAAATCGCTTAAGCTAAACACACAGAGTAAATAAACATTGAAATATTCGAATATCGTATTGCCCGCGCACCTCCACCCTCGACAACTTCATTCCTAAAGCCTGGCTTTAACTCTATACTAATTTCAATCGTAGTTATATATCATTATAGAATATTTTGCCATAGGTTAGAAAGAGAGCGATCGTCTTATCGAAAGCCCCGTAAAAAGCCCATGCGAGCGAGAGAGAACTAATCGCTCTATTAAAACTCACTTTTTATTACAACAGCAGTATCGCTCAGGCAATACGAGGTCATCGGTCGACCTGTGTTGAACAGTGGAGTGCGCGGGAAATTTGAAATAGTTTGAAACAGTTTACGAGTTATTTTATTAGTTGATATTATTGATTGACTCAGTTTGATAAGGCAAGCCCGGCTTTTCTGCTTCTATGGAGGCTTCGCTACTGGTTCGGAATCACAAATGAATTCATGACAAAAATAACTTATTAAATTTATTTATTGAATGATGGCGACATTTGGTGAGTGAAAGATTATATTATATATTAACATTACTCGGATTGGTGTTGAGTTTTGCATTGAAAGTGCAAAATTAGGTTTACGGTAAACTTGTATATGGTTTCTATCAAAAAATTTGCGCGCCAGCAAAAGAGCGAAACAATATAAGAATAAAATACTAAATACGGTAAGTAAATGTTGGTTGTATATAGGTTAGAATAAGAAAATAATTAAATTAATGAATATGAATGCACATTGGGGCACAGTGATCATTAGTCAAACTAAAAATAATGGTATAAGCTTAAACTAATATCTCATATTCCTAAACTTACAATAAAAATTTTGTTGATAGAATCAGGCGTTACTTTGCGGAAATCTATTATAATAAAAAATAAAAATATAAATTTCATGCAATTGAGGGAGGGCGGGAGGTGCTCTTCAATCCAGGTAAAACACATCATTGTATTTATTTAGCGGAAGGTTGCAAAGAAATTTATATTTTTATTTTTTTAAAATTTTGTTTTATAGGTCTTAAAATGGCGACAATTTGCTAAACAGTCTTAGTAGCTGTACATAACATACATAAACATACATAAACACTCACGCCTGTCACCCAGAGGGGTAGGCAGAGACTACAGACTTCCATTTGGCACGATCCTGACACACCTCTCTCGCCTCCTTCACATCCATACACCTACGCATGCATGCTCGTCGGTTAAGGGTACTCCTAATTTGGCCCGTTTTCAATAAATCGCCAATTTGGTCGATAAATTTTCGCCTAGGACGTCCCTTTCCGACTCTGCCATTCACTTCTGCAACATAAATTTTCTTTGTCACTCTTTCCTCATCCATTCTTTCCACATGACCAAACCACCGAAGCATTCCTTTCTTAATCCTGGTCACAACATCATCTTGCAAACCACACTCTTCTCTTATCACACAATTTTTCACCCTGTCATTCAGATTCAGCCCTAACATACTCCTTAACGACCGCATTTCTACTGCATTTATTCTACTCTCGTGCTTCTTCTGCCATACCCAACTTTCACTACCATACGTTAAAGTAGGGACCAACACAGCATTGTGAATTGCCATACGTGCCTTTTTTGACACATTTTGACTCTTCACAATAGAGTGCAGGGCTCCATTTACTCTGTTTCCTGCGTTCACTCGTCGTTCTATATCCTTATCATATCTCCCATCCCTGCTAAATACGCAACCCAAATATACAAACTCATCTACTTGCTCGATCAACTCCCCTTCTATTCTTATTTCACATATCGTTTTACTTTCATCTCTTTCAAAAACCATAATTTTTGTCTTACTTGCGTTCACTTTCATACCCCTTTCTTTTAATGATCTGTTCATTAATGTAACCATCATTTGCAACTCAGCCGCCGACGACGCAAGAATAACTTGATCATCGGCGTACAAAAGGCATTTGATGGTTAACTCACCCATTCTTAATCCGCATTCTTCAACTTTCAAATTTTGCAAACAACTGTCCATAAATAGGTTGAACAACCACGGGGAAGCCACACAGCCCTGTCTGACACCTTTATGGATGCCAAACCAGTCCGAGTAGACCCCGTTGATCCTAACACAAGCACTAGAGTCCCTATAAAGAGATTCCAATGCCTGTATCAAGCCAGCGCTCAACCCAAATGCGTTCAGTGTTTGCCATAGCACATTCCTATCCACTCTGTCATAGGCCTTCTCCAAGTCCATGAACGCACAAAAAAACCTTTTGGTTTTTGGCCAAAAACTTCTCCGCGATCATGCGCATGGAGAAGACTTGATCTGTACATCCCATTCCCTTTCTAAATCCCGCTTGCACATCCCAAATTTTTCCATCGGTTTCTTTCATGACCCTTTCAATTAGTACCTTGGCATACAGTTTTCCCACGATGCTAAGAAGGCTGATACCGCGGTAGTTTTTACAGTCCTGCTGCGACCCTTTTCCCTTATATACTGGGACTATCACGGCTTTGCACCAGTCTCCCGGTACCCGCTTCAGTTCCCAGCATAAATTAAACAAGGTGTGCAGCAGGCCTGCCACCACTTCCTCTCCAGCCCTTAGCATTTCGAGTGAAACTCTATCATATCCGGCAGCCTTACCTGCTTTCATGCTTCTCATTGCTTTCATTATTTCATCTATACTTATCTCGCTACCTTCTTCCTCTTCTTTCGGAGTTCCTATTTCATTCAGTTCATACGTTGTCTCCTCACTCATAAACATGCTTTCAAAATATTCCTTCCATCTCTTTAAACTCAAAACTTCATCATTCAGAATATAGCCATTCTCATCTCTTATAGCATTCATTATAGGCTGTTTTGAACATCCCCTGGCAGTTCTTACGAGTTTCCAGAACATTTTAATATTTGCCTGGAAGTTATCCGATATTCTTCTATCATTCTTATCCGTTCTTTCTTGCTTTTTCCTTTCAACTACTTCTTTTACTCTTTTATTTAGATGTCTAAAGACTGCCTTTTTCTTTCAAAATCATCATTCGTACCGCTTGAATTACCAGCCTTAGTTGCTAGTAAATCTAGCCATGCTCTCTTCTTTGCTTCAACTTCCGTACGTATCTCATCATCCCACCATAACGTATTATTTTTCCTTTCATTCTTTCTTTTACTAACACCACATACTTCGGTAGCTGCATCTACTAAACCTTTCTTAACATTTTGCCATACATTCTCCAAGTCTAACTCATTCATACATAATTCATCCAAACCACTTACGTTTTCTTTCAGTCTACATTTAAACTTGTTTTTCTCACCTTCATCTTGTAATCTTTCTGTTCTAATACGCTGTAACGCAGTGGTAGACACAGATGACCGATGGCGCCACCGCCTGAATAGACCATTAATTCGGCATAAAACCAAAAAATGATCCGTTCCTACGTTTGACCCCCGGTAAACCCTTGTATCCACCACTGCGCCCCTCAATCTTTCATCCACAATTATGAAATCTATCATGCTTCTATCATCACCTCTTTCCCAAGTGTACATGTGAATCCTCTTGTGGCGAAAGAAAGTGTTCGTCACAAAAAGATTCTTTTCCATACATACAGTGAGGAGGCTTTCACCATTCTCATTTATACTTTCATCACCAAACGTTCCCAATATCCTTTCATAACCAAGCCTCCTCACCCCAACTCTTCCATTAAAATCTCCTAGCATAACAACATTTTCATTTCCCTTACATTTCATTAATACCATCCTTACCATTTCCCAAAACTGCTCTCGGATATGAGTGGGCTTAGACATGTCTGGGTCGTAGACCCCTAGTACAAACAACTTCTTTAAGTAGCTGTACTACGTATGTTATGGATTCTATCATACAGCCGTTAGTTTTTAATCAGTTGTATAATAGAATATTTTTATTACTTACGCTGTATAGTAGTTATTAAAACATCACATGTAATTGTCTTTAGAGAGACGTATAAAAGATGAAAGACCTTTGACTTAGGTACAACACTTTTATTCCTTTTTCACTTTATCTCATTTAAATAATAATGTTTTAATATTTAACCGCGTTTTATTAATTTTGTTGTTTTATTTTATGGACAAGGACAAAAAAGTGTTTACTTCTTTCACTTCTTTTAAGACGTAGACTATATAAAGCTAAACAGCCAAAGTTAATAAATTAGTAGAGAAATATTTTTTCATTTTTGTACCATCCGAAAGCCATAGATTTAATCGTGTATTAATAGGCAAATAATTTAGTACCCCTTTTATTTGGTTAAATTCACAAACCAAACCTTAATTTTTTGTCTCTAGTAGCAAAAAATGACTACGATGTAGCAAATAAAGATAACATTATAATAATATTTCTAATAACTTAGTAAAAAATTGAAGCCATCTATTTCTTTTCCAAACAATATTATAGAAGGTACATTTTATTACAAAATATTTTATCTCGCTCAGCAGTACGGTACGAGTACGAGCATGCTGCTTATTTTGTTATTGTGATTAATTGATAGGTAACTCCTGGCAAGCGCGTGCGCATGTCGTTTTCTAGTCATTGGCTTTCGTCGTCATACTACGGTACGGCAAAACCAAAAGAGACTTATTGTTAAGTATTAAGTATTATTGATATGGATCTTATGTTTCCTGAAATAAATTAATAATAATAAAAAAACCTTATTACTGTGTTGTGTACTTGTGTAGCTTATACCGGTTTTATTTTACTTTTTAGGAAAATATGCCATTTGAAATTGTGGAAACTATAGAAAAAGGGAATATTGCCTTTTCATTGTACCAAGTTTATAGTAATCAAAAGGCGTTTTAAGATGGCAAAAAAGCGATTAGATGCTAACAAGTTAGTCAAGGACGAAAATTGTATGTATTTAAACAGTTGGACCACTTCACGGTGTCATGTGAAAGGGCTATCAAGATCGTCATTCGAAGAAGCAGAAATAGAACTAGATAGTATGCTTAACAGAAGCGACAACAACATTGATGATGAGAGAAAAAGACAAAGCTTTACAGTTACAAGGAACACCAACTATTAAAACAATGTTTAATATTTTTGCTATGAAACCTTTTTAGTTAGACGACAATGGGATTAACGCTTGACTGTGTAGATTATCTGATTTCATATTCATATTCATTTATTGATAAAATATAAGCTTACAGTACGAGTATATACAACCAAATCGCTTATATCTATATAAGTAAGATAAAATACACAAGAAAAAAAATCACCAATTATTAAATTTCCATACACAATATAAATTACAGCCCCAACAGTATAATGAGATCTATTTACTATATCATAAATTAAACTTAATTAGCTAAACATATACTATTCTACTATCTTACAAAGTTGTTTAAGAATATTAATACGTTTTTATACATTACGCTGCATTGCATTTATTAAAGTATTTGTAAATTCGTCCGTATTTATCATTACCATTACATTACCGTTTATAATTTGTAATATTTAAATATTCCTTTTTAATCCTTCATTTAACTGCACAAAATCTTTTTCTTTTTTCCTCATATCGATAAGAAATTAATTTTTTCACTATCACAATATATTAAACTCGCAATCACGCATGCAAAATGGCGATATCTATCACTTATACAGACTTCTATCACTTATACAGACTTCTATCACTTATACAGAATTTGTACTAAAGCTGTTTTTTTATGGTTCATAAAAGATAGCTTGATCTCTGCGACAGCTGTCAGTAAAAATCACGCCTATGAAGTCCTGAATTTCTTAGTAGTACAGACAGTACCTGTCAATGTCATACTTTATGGACACGCACTAATTAGGTCGGCATGCCCATAAAGTATGACATTGACAGGTACTGAATGTACTACTAAGAAATTCAGGACTTCATAGGCGTGATTTTTACTGACAGCTGTCGTAGAGATCAAGCTATCTTTTATGAACTATAGTTTAATATCACTCTCATAGACGGAAGTTGTAAAACTACTGTATTTACAAGAGTGTACAATTACGCCATAAGAATAAGTTTTAGAAGGGAGTTTTCATACTACATTGTTCAGAAATATTATTCGATTGATACTATAATAACACTTAGAGCTGTAATAAGCATGTGACAGCACCAAAAGTTAGCTTCTATACAGCTTTAATGATAAAATCAGATTAGTGTTACAAAATACTTAAAAGTTGTAAAGTAGAGTTTACATATTGCGATTAAGAACCCTAAGCTTACTTAGATCTCATAATACAGACTTTATATAGCTTGAGCTGTATAATAAGTCATAAACCACTCTTATAAGGATATAACCTCTTTTCGACACTCTTATATGCCTCTAACAGAACTCTAAGTTCTATGTGGGCTGGTATATTGATGTTCATAACGCTTGTGTGCTGCTTGAGGGTCGGCTCGACCGGAGCAGGACCACGCTCTCACACAATACCAGCATAAAATAGCAGCGTAACGCTGCTGTGTTTCCTATGGTGAGTTTGAGGAACCAGAGACCCTTTTACTGGAATCGAGGCATTTCATCTTAATAAGTCTTCAGAGGTGACAACGCATTTGCATTTTGATCCTTAAATAAGGATAAACGTAGATGTCTATGAGCCACAGCATCCACTTACCGTCAGGTGGACTGTATGCCAGTTTGCTACCAATACTATAAAAAATGATTGTGACACACCTCTCGCTCTCGCTTCTTTCACATCCATGTATCTACGCAAACACGCTCGTCAATTAAGGATACTCTACCCATCTTCAATATATATTTGGATGATTTCCATCTAGGGCATCCATGCCAAATCTGCCACTCACTTCTTCAGCAAAAATTTGCTTTGTTACCCTATCCGCATTCATTCCTTCTACGTATACAAACCACCAAAGTCTAACACCATTATTAACCACCATTTTCTCGCCTATCTAAAGACACGGGATCTAAATATATATATATATATATATATATATATATATATATATATATATATATATATATATATATATATATACTATACTCATGAGTATTATCAGATGAAAAGTTTCGTAGTCATAAAAGTATCGAAACAAAAGTACCAATTATGGAGTGTAGAGGTAAGGAGTACAGACTCTGTATAAAAAGTGTCCGTAGGAAAGCACTAAATAGCGCACAGCACAATTAAAGAGCAGCACAATTATCCATTATCAATTCTTAGTTTTTTTTTATAATATCCGCGATAAGATGTCTATATAATAATAGTCTGTACTAGTAAACTTGCGCCGTCCTTTCTGCCAAGGAGGGTCGCGTTCGTATACGGCTTAGAGATCTCTCGTCAGATCGGTAAGCCAATCGGTGTTTAGTGGGTAAAAGTCTCCACATAACCACGCAGCCGGCTGCGTGGTATGCTATGAGCATTCACCGCCTCCCTCCCCCGCTTTCCGGAGGGTTGCCCATATTTTCTTCGGGCGCAAAAAAAGCGCTGAATAAGGGTGGCGCCACTGTAGCTACAGTCTAAATTTTAAAGAACTTTTTATAATCTTTTTATTGCACAGACTTTCACCATAATTCTTTTTACAATAATTATTTTATTGCTTTCATTATTTTTTATTCTTAAAATCAACGTAATCTACGTAATACAAACTAACGTAAATACGTTGAGTGATATAATAGGTGCCAATAGAATGTAATGAACCTTTATTATTTCTGGTATGACTATTCATTATATATTTAGTCAGGACACGACAAGCCTGTAAGGCCTACAAAGCCTTTGCGCTTTTGACCAGCAGGCTTACTCCCGAAATTGATTGAGAATTCGATTCAAACTGACTTAATTTCGAACCTGATTTTAAAAGCTTACTCCTGAACCAATATCAATTGAGAAACACGATCGAGCTATACGATCAAGCGGAACAAGCGCCGTTACATTTCCGGATGTTTATATACGGAAATTATTTTTAATAAATTAAAAATTACAATAATAAAATTAACCAGAAAAAAACATTCTAATAGCTCGCAACTACGAGCGCCATCTAATGACGGATTTCCGTTCCGATAGTTTCAATTTGGACCACTAATCGATGGTGCGCTAGCTACGATACGGGTTTTGAGGGAATACGAAATTACCTTGAGTTCTTATAAAATTATATTTTCAAAACTAATTTTATAAGAACTCAAGTACAAAATTGATCAAGGTAAAATCGAGTTTTAAATGTCAATTAGACATTCAAAACTCGATTTTGCTTGGAGTAGTTCATTACAACTTTTCTGGTAAAAAGATTTGTTTGTTAATTTACCCTTCCATTTGCAAAATTCTTAGAACAAAATTATTTTCTGTCCAATTCTACATACAAAAAAACGAACTCTAAAAACTGAGTTTGATGGTAATAAAGGAGTTTTCTCCTAAAGGGATATAATATGAAAACGATTTTTTAATATTTTTGAAAATATTGTTTATTCATTTGATTATAATAAACTTTACAAATATAATTTACAGTGAAAGAATACTCACTTCTCCTTTTTCTCAGAAGAAAGTGAATTGTAGAGCTTGTTGATTTCATTAAAAACCAAATTTTGGACGATAGTGCCATTTGTGTCAATAAAATTGGCAAATGATTTTGTAATGTTGGCCTCCCGGACTTTTCCATTTGAATCGCGCATTACTATAACCAAATTGTACTTGTCGTCATGTCTGTAAAAATTTAAAAAGAGTAAAAGTTATAGTTTAGTACTACAATTTAAAAAAATTCTAAATATTTGGTCAGTAGTTAATGGTCACACCATTCAAATTGTGAAATTTATTTTAAAAAAGTCCTGCTGGGTTTCTTGCTGGTTGTTCTCTGGACAGGTTTTATTAAAATTAGTGGTAAAGTAAAAAATGACTTTCAATAAGAATTACATGTAATCAATATTGAATAAAAAATTATTCTATTCTATAATTCTATATGTCACTGAACTCCTCCTAAACCGCTGGACTTAATTTTATCTAGTTTTTTGTGTGTTTGAGGTCCCTGGAGCGTTGAGTTTCACAATTGGACCCAGTAGGCGGCAATGTCGTCGAGATCCAGATATCACCCGTGCCAACTTGAGGCGGATCGCTTGTATCATGTAATAATTAATCACTCAATAAGCATGTAAAATGTCAGACTGAGTAATTTTTAACATACTTATTACCTAAATAATATGATGATGTTAGAATTAATCTGAGATTGGACTTCAGTGTCTATGGGACGCAGTCAGGTAGACTATGTGGTAGCTCGATGGTCATCCTGACTTCTATAAAAAAAATCGAGCCCAGGAAGTAGGGCAAATCACGTAAGCGGAAGAGCTACACCAAATGTCAAGCAAAAGCATACTGACAAACGACTTCGTGTCCAAGTAGCCAAAATAGTTGGCTATTAAGTCATGGGTCTGAAATATAGCCAGTGCCAATCAAAACTCATATTTAGTTTCCTGATATGATTGCTCTTCCTAATAATTTTAGCACTGCATCGACCATAGGTAGGATAAAAAATTGAATGGCTGTGTTAAGCACATACTTATATGTTTATATATACATATTTATAATTCTTCTGTCCATGTGTCATGTGCGTGATTAATTTGATTTGGGATACGTTTATATTTGCAATTGGACCTGGTAGGTGGAGCTATTGTCGAGATCTAGAAATCACCCTTGCACATTTATAAATTTATATTTATGGATTGGACCTACATTTATACATATATTATGTTGCTCCAAAAATTTAAATTTACCAGACTTACTTTTTCACATATGAACTTGCTTCCCATGTTCTGTAAATGTTTCCAACTTTCTCCTTAGCAACAACAAATATGCCTTTTTCCTTGAATGTTGTATACAAAGTGAGAACTCCCATTGAAATAAAGTAAAAGGAGACACAAATGATGAGAACTTCCCTGAAAAAAATAAATAAAAAGTAAGTAATTATACATATAATTAACACCAGATGTACTCATATAATACACGGGCATTTCTCATGCCATTTGTAACCAGCAAGAAAATATATGACAACATTCTTGTCTAAATTTTTAACATCTTTAACATATTGTCTTTAAAAGTCACATGTTACGATAGCATGGACACTGGTAATTAGCTACCGTTTGGCAAGTCCAGCTAATTCTTGGATTTTCTTATTTTTTATACATAAAATTGTTAAATCATTCAATCTATTTAATCAAGTTGTGTGCTTGTGATAGACTCATGATGATTAAACTGTTTTATTAGTGCATACAGTTCATCCAGTTATCGATTTACTAGTTTTCTCAGTCACATGGTTGTTTTGTATCACTCAATTATACCAAATAATTTCAACTTTCATGGTTAATATGAAAGTACTTGCTTATGCTATGCTTTATATAACATAGTGAAAGCCTAGGCACATACATAATTCTGAACAACAGTTTTATTGTATGTGAAAATTTTATTGGAATGTTTGGTCTGATCCACTTTTTTTAGGATAAGAGTAATAGATGAGCATACAGTCTACCTGAAGGTAAGTGGTTGCTGTGACCCATAAACAATCTATCTAATCTATCCTCGGTTACAAACCAAAATGCAGATGCATTGTCACCTGTGAGGACTATGATGGAATGTCTCGTTTCCAATAAAAAGGGTCTCCGGTTCTCTACACTTACCGTATGAAACACAGCAGCGTTAATCTGCTATTTTTATGCTAGTATTCTGTGAGAGCGTGGTCTTTCCCCCATTGAGCCGACCCATTTGTGCTACAACTATACTACTAATATAGCTGCAGCATGGCTCTATCATGTCCAAAACAGAAAATAAGTAAATCAGTAATGACTGGATCGACTACATGCACACCATCACAAACTGTCTTGAAATCATCACAAGCATATAATTCAACTAAGCACTTTAATAATTTAACAATTGTATGTATGCAGTAGGTCTAAGACTGTTTTCTAGCAATAAATTACCAAAAAATTTTGAAATTTTATCATTGACTTTGTTATTTTACTGCTCGCTTCTTTTTTTTTTTTGAGAAATTTAGTAATAATTAGTTAGTTAGTTAGTTCAAAAAAATTAGTATTTGTTTGTACTACAAAGTTTCATTTATACCAAAAATTCAGCTACAAATTTACAAGCAAATTTTAAGTTTCTGCCGATTTTACTGCCAGCTTGATAGAGCTGTTATAGTCCAAATGCTGGACATGGAGCTCTCCCATTGAAAGGAGAATGTTTCATGCAGAGCAAGCAGATTGTCAATTGCAGTACCAAGCCTCCCCCAGCCTATGATTTTGCTGTCCATTGTAAGAGTGTGTAGATCCTCTTCTCAACATAAGAAGACAATATTTTTCACATATATTCTTCTTTAAGATATGTCAATTCTCTTCTCATCCCTTAATTCCCAGGTTGTACACCACCTCTCAGAATTCTTATCTTCAAGTAGGTACTGGCTCCATAAAGATTGTCCACATTTGTTTAATAGTGTTACGCGCCTAAGTTGACGTCATGTACCCGGCACTAGCGCCATCTAGTGTCGGAGACGAGAGCGAGGGGAGCTTTCCAGAAAATGACATGACAATGACAATCTTTCAACCGACAGCGCCATCTGTTGTCGAAAAGAAGAACTAAGCTTCTAGAAGCTGAGGGGAGCTTTCCAGAAAATGACATGACAATGACAATCTTTCAACCGACAGCGCCATCTGTTGTCGAAAAGAAGAACTAAGCTTCTAGAAGCTGAGGCTCGAATTTTCTACGCTTGGTCGGTTGGCGCGCGTATTTACTTGAATATTATGGAATATTTTGGATGTTTTCGTGGAAGAGCCCTATATAAAGGCGCTGCAATACGCGATCGGGGAAGTATTGAATTTGGCGAGACAAGCGAAGCTTCGGAGCGGAATAAAGTGAATCAGTGTTATTAATTTTTAGTGTTTTAAGTTTTAATTAGTGTAAAGAAAATTAAAGTGTTAATTCAGGTAATTTTATCGGCAAATTTTATTGCCACGAACCTCATGCTCGTAACAATTGGTGTCAGAAGTGGGATAAAATCATGCCGATTTTACCTAAGGAGGAAACGGAGGGTGTCCGTACCCGCAGTCAACGACAGCATGAGACGGACCAGAGGAGATTTGCTGGTACAACGCCGCAGACGTCGGAGGGCGAACTGCCAGCCACGGAGGCTGCGGGCCCGTCAGTAGCTCCTACATCTGCAGCACCTGACTTAGGTGCTCTGATGGCGATGCTACAGAAGCAGCTGCAGCGCGGACGAGAGGAACAGGCCTTGTTGAAAGAGCAGCAGGAGGAACAGGCTCGCCGACAGGAGGAACAGGCTCGCCGACAGGAGGAACAGGCTCGAACCGACAGGAACAGCTCCAAGTCCGTCAGTTGAAAGAGCAGCTGCGCGACAGGATGAACAGGCCCGTCGGTTGGAAGAGCAAATGTTCCTCATGAAGGACCTTCACGCTACCTTCGGGAAGGAGATAAACGAGGTGAAGGATAGGGTTGCTCAGCATGATAACCGCCTGTCGGAAGCTGAAACCCAAATCACGAAAGCTGAAACCCGAATCGAGAAAGCTGAAACCCGAATCGAGAAAGCTGAAACCCGAATCGACCAAGTGAACAATCGGGTTGACAACGTGATGGCTGACGTGAAGAAAACGCTGGATGACCTCAAACTGGGGGATGCAATTACAGCTCCCGTAGTAGCTGCAACACCTTCGCTACGTGGGTTCAAGGTGCTACCGTTCGACGGGACTTCTTCCTGGTCGGCCTACAAAATCCAGTTTGAAGCTGTTATGAAGGCGAACGGCTGGAATAAAAGTCAGGCCATAACTGCTCTCACACTAGGCCTGCGCGACCAGGCCTTAACAGTTCTGGAAGCTCTCGGTGAGGAAGTGACTTATGAACAACTCCTTGAGGCACTGGAGTCGAGATATGGCGACGCTCACCTGGAACACGTCTTTCGTGCGCAGCTTAAAGATCGCGTGCAGCGCATCAACGAAAACCTGCAGCAGTGGGCTCTAGAGGTGGAGAAGCTGGTGCGAAAAGCATACCGGCCTGTACCTGCGCTCATTGAAGGGAAGCTGGTGCAGTCATTCATCGACGGCATTCGCGACCTGGAAGTCAGAGCTGCTGTGAGGCTCGGGCACCACGAGACGCTTAAGGACGCCTTGGCCCATGCACTGGAGGTAGAAGCCGTGCGGCAGGATCATCGTTCCCATCGCGTCAGGGAGATCGCAGCAGCTACAGTTCGCGACCGCAACAAAGGATTCAGCCCTAGGTGCTATGGCTGTGGGGAAAAGGGCCATCTACGATCCAGCTGCCCTAAGCGAACTGAAGAAAGGGAAGTTGATCGATCTCGAGAGGGTAGTGCAGCTAACGGCACCGCCTGGCGGTGGCAGCAACATCATTCCCCTCACGCTAGGGAGGTTGCAGCAGTTCGCGACCACAATAAAGGATGCAGCCCTAGGTGCTATGGCTGTGGGGAAAGGGGCCATCTTCGATCCAGCTGCCCTAAGCGAACCCTAGAAAGGGAAGGTGAACGATCTCAGAAGGGAAGTGCGGCTAACATCACCGCCCAGCAGCAGCCGGGATACGACTTTACATCAGACATCGCAGCGGGAAATCTCATGGCAACGCAGATGCATGGTCAAGAAGACCTTGTCCTGAAGATCGGAAACATTGTACCAGGTAAGAGAGTAAGGAAGTGGTATCCGTGAGGATGCTCAGGACAGACCACCTCAGCAACGATTGGAAGGACAGCCTACGACATGCACAGCAGGAAGATCCGGACATCAAGCCGATTCTGGAATGGACGAAGGCCCGCGCTACCAAGCCTAAGTGGAGCGACGTCTCAGCGATGAGTTCAACCACGAAAAGCTATTGGGCCCATTGGGACAGCTTGCTGATTCAGGATGGAGTCCTGTGCCGTAAATGGGACAATTGTCGAGGAGACAGCTGTCGTTTGCAAATGGTTGGCCCTAAAGCTAAAGTTGCGAATGTTCTACAGCTGTGCCATAATGGTCGTTCAAGAGTCCATCTGGGAGTTAAACGAACTCTGCTGAAGGTCCGAGAACAGTTTTACTGGGTCCATTATCATGACGATGTCGAGGCTTGGTGTCGTACATGTCCAAGTTGTGCGGCCGTGAAGGGACCTCAGACACGTAGTAGAGGAGCACTGAAATTGTACAATGTTGGTGTACCAGGGGATAGGACAGCCCTTGACATTGCGGAGCCGTTACAGAATGGCGCAAGAAGGACTCCTAAGATCGCCCATGCGGATCGCCTGGCGCGTTATTATGGGGCCGACAATGTTCGGGACGAGCATGTCTTAGGAGGGGGCAGTGTTACGCGTCTAAGTTGACGTCATTTATCCGGCACTAGCGCCATCTAGTGTCGGGGACGAGAGCGAGGGGAGCTTTCAGAAAATGACATCACTAATCTTTCAACCGACAGCGCCATCTGTTGTCGAAAAGAAGAACTAAGCTTTTAGAAGCTGAGGCTCGAATTTTCTACGCTTGGTCGGTTGGCGCGCGTATTTACTTGAATATTCTGGAATATTTTGGATGTTTTCGTGGAAGAGCCCTATATAAAGGCGCTGCAATACGCGATCGGGGAAGTATTGAATTTGGCGAGACAAGCGAAGCTTCGGAGCGGAATAAAGTGAATCAGTGTGATTAATTTTTAGTGTTTTAAGTTTTAATTAGTGTAAAGAAAATTAAAGTGTTAATTTAGGTAATTTTATCGGCAAATTTTATTGCCACGAACCTCAAGCTCGTAACAATAGCTTTGTCTCATTTCTCTAAATCCCTGGGCCCATTTTATCGTGAAATACAAGTCCCTTCTTTAATACTCCTTTTGAAGCTATTATGTTTAAACCTAACATTCACCTTGACCGTGATATTAAAAAAGGTTCCCCTGAGGTGGAATTAAAATTAAAGGAAGCCATAGAAAAAAATTGGAAAGGTTGGATGATCATGTTGAATGCATCCAAAATTATTGGTCATGGCTGTACTGGTGCACCTGTCTGGATTCCCAGGTTTAAAATAATCCTTAGTTTTAAGTGCCCTTCATTTTGTTCCATTTTTACTGCTGAAACAGTAGCAATCCATGAAGCTCTGCTATATGTTAAATCACATAACTTAGACAAAACAGTAATTTTTAGCGATTCTAAGAGTTGTTTATCTGCCATTTTATCTAATCAATTTCAAAGTAAATATAAATTCTCCATAATTCTTAGTATAAAAAGCATTCTGCATAGGTGCTATCTTAAAGGGATTTCGGTCTGTTTAGCGTATATACCTAGACATAGTGGTATCTGTGAAAATGAAAAAGTGGATTTGTGTGCCAAAGAGGCTATTAGAAGTGGCACCCCTCTAAATATTACCTATTCTCATGACTTACTTTCACTTGCAAGGAAAAAGCTTGTTAACACATTGAATGAAATATGGAGAGCATCACAAATACAAAAAGGCAAGCATTATGCTGCTATACAAGATAATATTCCATCAAGACCTTGGTTTTTCATATTTAATAAAACAAAAGAACATGCTACTTCTATTGTCTGCTGCTTGAGAATTGAACATGCCTGTTCCTATGTTCACTTAGCCTAACTTAGGATTAGGGATAGTTCTCTATGCAAATGTGGCTTAGATGAGGGAAGCACTAACCATATATTCTTTAACTGCACCATGGTGTCATCATCTATAGATTCAGATATACAATTGTCTGCCCCCTGATATCCCTCGTCCCATAGATTTTAACTCCTTTCTAACCTTCACAAATACCTCTTTTGTATATATTTTATGTGATTTTATTAACTCTAACAACATTAAGTTGTAATTTGTCATATATAATAACACATTAGTAGTGTTATTCTAACAACATTGTCTGTCTTTTGTTGTAGGTAATTCCACAGATAAGTTGGCCAAAATTAATCACATAATATTGTTGTTAATACTTTTGTATTATCAATTTCCCTTTTTTATGCAGTTTTTTGTCCCAAATAAACCTTTTCGGATGTAACATATCATTGGCGAATTCATTCACAGTTCACAGTTTTCTGCACTTTCTGAGTTCTCATTATTTAACAAAGAATAATCTTAGGACAATAATACATTTATAAAACTAAATTTCAAATTTATCTAAATGAATTAAAAATTGTAAGAATTATAATTAATAAAATGTTTTAAATTACCTGGACTGAGGAAATGGGTAGAAATAGTCCCATAACAATGCACAAGCAGCTACACCAACAGCTAGAGTACACAGAAAGAGACGTCCATCAATGATTGCATAGGTTTCTTTGCATTTCAGATCGTCTGTTAGCACCTGTTTTATAAACATCAATCATAGTATTTTAAAATATTCTAAGTTCATATGCTGTTTTACAGTTGCTATTGTTATATCTATTAAGTCCTTACCTATGAAATAGCACAAAAAAATAGAAAACAATTAAAAAATATTAATTGTGTTACATTAATTATTAGGATTCTAGGAGCGAGAACCAATGATTGCAATAAAAGGGATTTCTGCCTTATCGTAATAGAAATTTGCCTCTATAATATTATTTAAAATTATTTAAAAAAATTAGTAAACAGTGGATTAAGAAGTTTCCAGTTGGAGATCCTGTAATTTCAGAAGACAGTTTGTTGTGTGGTGTCATAATGGACATACAGTTCTATTGGGCAAGTAGTAAGCTGCAAACTTGCCTATATGCATTGACTACATTTGACAGTATTTGTCATAATAACAAACTAAACCCATGTTATTAGTCATTTGGGGAGTCAATTCCAAATTCTCTAATATAAATATATATATTATAACTCAACTAATTAATACAAACTTTAACATAGTTTTAAAGTTGCCAATCAATAAGTTATAAGGAAATACACATTCCAAGCTTCTCTATTAAGCCATAAATGTGAAAGGCTGCTGTTAATACATATTTTGAAATAAATCTTCTACCACCACTTCAACACTACACACAACTCAAATTTGTAAATATTATTAATTAAGTAACATAACCATTGCTCTGATCATAAACGCAGAAAACTATACAAAGAAAACACATATACAACCAAATTAATCATATTTTTGAAGCTATATATATATATATATATATATATACAACATGTAACATAATTAACGCACTTTGAGAAAGTAGTTTGTTTAGAATCGTTTACTGAATCGATTCTTATCATTTTTAATATAGGTAATTTTTTATCCCATTTTATCCCAAAAATAATTAAAACTACGTAAATTACAGTCACACTAAATCTGTACAGTCAAAACAAATTGAAATGGACCGTAACTTAAGGCAATAAGACTTTTAAGAGTGCAGTTTTATTTGTATTATTACTAATTCTGTCATTCAATAAAAATAAATAAAAATGAACTTTATTTCAAGCACGTTAAAGTCTTTGCATTCGTGGATTTGTAGTGTGACCACAACATTCTTCCGGAATTAGTATAACTAATTTTATAAATAATCAGTGCATAAAAATGTTTAATATAAGTGTATGTATTATGATTATAACATAATATACTAATTGGGATGTCTGAGGGTGTGCATTAATTACGTTACATATTGTATATATATATATATATATATATATATATATATATTAAAATTATATAAATATATATATATATATATATAAAAGGTTTAGTTTCACATTAATTTGAATTATAAATACCAAGGTGATACATTGAATTTCACCATAGCCAGTATTAGAAAATAGCAAAGTATTAAGTGAGGACCTAATAATTTATGCAAATAGAATTTTAGAGATTAAATATATAGAACAGAATGCTAGTTACCTACCTCTCTAATCGCATCATCAATAGCATTTTTTGCTGCTGCACCATCCCATTTATTAATTTTCACAACCTGGAAGTTGGAGAAAAGCTAAGATGAAAAGAAATGTAAATAACGCTCTTCAGTAGGTTCTCGTTATACAGCTGTTAGCTCTGCATTTCGTATAGTTTCATAGATTCAGCTAATGCCCAACTATTTGCAAACACATTTTGGTTGTAAAATAGAAATTTAACTTGAAGTTGATAAAATCTTTTAAATATAGGCTTAGCTGAAGACAACACTCATCTATGGATTTAATTATGAAATAAAAACCTATTTTAATAAGTTTCTCACTAAATTTCATTCTGTTTTCTTTTTCACTAGTTGTGACGTGTCTGTTTTCCATATTAAATGCATGTTTAAATCATTAGAAATGTACCTCGGACTTTTCACCCATTTTAGACAAGGTATGACCTGTAATAATTCTTCAATTTTATTGGTAACAAAAACTGTAGTCACACACGTAAAAGTCCTTAAAATATTTAACTATTTGAGAAGGTAATCGTCACCGCTTCTTCTAATTCCAATCACAGACACCATAGATTACTGTGTTGCACAGACACAGAACCGTAGACAGAGAAATTGTCGTTCTTTCTCACTCGAGGCCACGCTAATCATTAGTAGTCTATAGGTTTCTCTGTCTACGTGTCTGTACTACCACAGTCTATAAATCCATATTTTATTATACTGTGGTACTAAGAAATTCAGGACTTCATAGGCGTGATTTTTACTGACAGCTGTCGCAGAGATCAAGCTATTTTTATGAACTATAGTTTGTTGTCTGCCACAGACAACTTACTGATTGTCATGGTCTACGTTAGTACTCTTATTAGCGTAGACAGAGAAACCTATAGACTAATGATTAGCGTGGCCTCGAGTGAGAAAGCGCGATAACGTAGTTTTAGGTTATACAATAATCTTTATGACTTTTAAACATATTTAGATAAAAATTTTAATTGTTCTAAAAACTGAACTGAACAAGATTCGCCAATCTTAAGCTCACCAAACACTTTTTTCTCACTTAAACCAACTTATAAACTCCTTACGTCGCTACGAACTGTCAAAGTTGTTTAGCAAAGTGTAGTTTTCTAAACAAAAAAACCGGCACGGAGAAAGGGACAAACAATCACACCGTTCTCTCTTATTTCTATGCAAGACGTATGCATAAATCTATCTGTTTCGTGTGCGAACGCGAAAGAAGGCGTCAATTTGTCTATAGGTTTCTCTGTCTACGCTTATTAGTTTGTGGTCATGATCTGAGCTGGTTGTTCATTAATTCATTTCATTTGTTTTGTCCGTTGACTTACGTTCCACAGTTTCATTTCTTTAAATAAGTTTTATTCCTATAATAAACTAGTTGAATAAACAAGAAACCGTTTCTCCCTACTAGTTCCACAGTTTCATTTCTTTAAATAAGTTTTATTCCTATAATAAACTAGTTTTTGAATAAACAAGAAACCGTTTCTTCGATTCATCAAAAAAAGCTGTTGCGTAAAACTGTTTCAGAAAAAAACGCCCAGTCCTACCTCTTAAGCAGTGGCGTAGCCACCTTGGGGCAAGGCGGGGCAGTGTCCCGGGGCGTTCAAGCTCAAGGGGCCCCTCAGCCTCCATGAACGTCCTCCGAAAAAATTATCCATGAACGACATGAAGCAGTGTTAGAGCCACGCGGTATCTTTTCTGTCATACGGCCTGCTCGAACCGGGGTGGTACCACGACCTCCGGAATACCAGCGTGAAGTAGAAGTTTACTTCTGCGTTTCGCTTGGTGAGTGCGGATGGCCGGATGCACAATTCCCTCCTTCCCTTTTAATACATAGTAGCGGAGTTGAATAAGGCACTACGCCAGGAGGATACCAGCACCTCTGGTGTCGGAGAATCCCTCACTGAGCATCCACACTCAAGTTGCCTTCTTTTTCCTGAGCGTGGGTGCTCAGGTTGCTCCAATATTCTGCGAGGGGCGGGAGTTCCACTCATGAGGTACCTTGAGGATCATCAGTTGATTGGTGACCACCAGTACGGTTTTTGTTAGGTTCACTCAGCTGGTGATCTTTTGGTTTACTTTACTCATAAATGGACGGAGGCAGTAAAATTCAAGGGGGAGGTCCTGGCCATATACCAGAAAAAATTCTGTTTGCCAAATTGGCAACGGTTTTTCATCAGCTTTACATTAGTTAAGTGTAAGTAAAATAACACAAAGTAAAAATTTAAACAAAATATTTATTTGCCCTTTACAAAGAAAATAAACCAATTTAACTGTATTGAAATAACTTTAAATTGTTTATTGTATCGTATATCTATATTACTCATTTTTTAGTAAAATCTTTATACCTGCCATAGTTTCTCAAATCGTCCAGGGTTAACTAGTAAAGCCATAAGATGATAAGTCGGCATTTCATATCCCACATTAGAAGCTGTGTAAAAAAGGTGAAATAAATAAGTAAAATACTAATTATTAACCTTGACATGAAGATGGCTGAGATAAAACATGTAAATATAGTACAAAAAGCTTAAAAATTCAAAGGTTTGATTTATGTACTTGCAAACATTTTTCGGGCATAAACTGCATCAAAACTGTTTATGACGCTAGTAGTATTTGTTATCCCTATTATTTTATGCATAAACAACAAATTAAAAGAATGTAGACAAAATTTATAAGGAATTTGAATTATAGCGCACACATTTATATACTATACTTACTATAGATTCTCCGGTATATCTGCAGTAAACATTAACGTACCTAAGAAACATATAAGACATACCCCATTATTTGCCCCCAACCCTACAAATTACAATTACGCAGTAAACTCACTTTTGACTCGTATTTACTCAATATAATATAAAGATTTCAAACCCAGATATACATACTTTACTAGTTTAAAAATAAAATGAAACATAGTTCAAAAGCTCCTGCAATAAATAATTTATCTATTTGTATCGGCCTTTTATTAGGAAATGAAAGGATATATATCTTTTATATTTATACACTGGATGATTTTTACCATCTGGAACAAATAGGCTGTACCAGGTGACCGGAATAAAGCCTATGGCAGTGTTATTTTACAATTCTATTTTTATTTTTCACTAATATATTATGAAATTGATGTATCAATAAATACTACTAATTGGGTACGTATTATTTTAAATTTGATAGTTTTTAAGTGATTTATTTGTTGTCACATTGTTTGTGACATTGACCTCAGATTTGAGCCGAATGTTAAAAGGCGTAACTTACAAAATCTCAATTTAGATGTGATAACAATATTTAAATATTGATGTTATTCACACTTCTATAAGCACATATGTTTTTGTTTTTTTTGTTTCTTAAATAATATTGTCTGTGGTTCCTATAAATATCGTAAAATCTTACGGTACATCGCGAAAAATGAGTTATATTTTATATTTAAATTTATGGTAAGTAACGCAGCAATTCATTTAATAACAGTTTCATATTAAAAAAAAATATTTGAAGCAATATAATCACCATATTGAGCTTTTGCAAATTCATCTCTTTAAAATAAACAAAACGCGCGTTACGTCACATCGTTCCAAAAGAAACGTGACAATGGCAGCCAGAGATGCGTCACTTTTTTTGGGCCAGCCCGCATGCACCGAATAAAAATAAAGTTCTTATATAATATTGAAAATAAAGTTTTATCTTTTAAATAAGTACGTACTTATTCGGTGTCGTTATCACTCGAATCTTTATATGTGTTATAAATTAATGCTTTTTGTTGTTAAATATATAACGTAATAACAACAGATGACTTTTCTTCTACAGCGATCTTTTACATAACTTTTTAATAATAGTTAATAAATATATATTATATCAATAATTATAAAAAAATAATAAAAATCTCATCATCATCATCATTCAATCACTATAAACAAAGAAAGTACTACATATAAAAAGTGCCTATATATTGAAGGTTTGTAGCCCCTGGTTAAACGACCGAAAGGTCATTGTGCGTTTTTCTTAATCGATTTCGTTCTCGAATTCGATAATGTAAGCATTTATTTATACGTACATAAATTTGTACACCCACAAAATCTGCATCTTAGTTTTAGTCTGCTTGTTCTATTTATTTTTATAGAAGAAGGGGCAACGAGCATGCGGCTTACCTGATGTTAAGTGACTACCGCCGCCCATGATCGACCGGAACACCAGGGGAATTGCAGAATTGTTCTACTTTTGGTGTCAACTTTACTTTTGAATAAAGATATTTAATGTGGGACATGACATTCAAAATTTAAACAGGGAACCTATAATTGGCTGTTATAACCATTTATGAGTTATTTTAAGGTATATTCATAAGAGAATGATATATTTTCTCGTTTCCTAAATTTTCGTAGTTTAGGATCTCTTGTTATCTATCATTTAAGGTTATGTTTTTCTTTTCAAGCCTTCACGATCGTTGATAGTTATTAGTTATTTTTAAAATTGCTTACACTATTCTCACATTTTTAATCAATTTTTAACTTCCTGTGGAAATATCCATAATCTTCTCTGGTTGCTAAAACATTAAAACATATTTGGAGTTTCAAAACGGATGTAATGATTGATTAAAACTACTTTTACGGATTTTATCGCGTTTATTTTACTATTATTTTTAATTCCCGACGTTTCGGGCGCTTTCCAGCACCCATGGTCACGAGGGTCTGAGATGACTGACGTCCCGATGTCATTGTTAAACCCGGAGTACATTCAGCTTTTTTTAATCATTGTTTATGGTCCGATCTATGCAAAATGAACTGACTATGTGCTGAGGTCTTGCAGTGGTATGCTTGGGTTTAGTTTTAATTTTATTGATTATAGGATCCCAAGCAGGTGGTAGTACCCAGCCTCCTTCTCTATTGAAATTAGGATGTTTTTTAATTTCAATAGCCTCACGTATCTTCCTTGGTAGGAATCGGTGTTCTTTCGCGAGGATTTGTGGTCTATCAAATCTGATGTAATGGTTGGGGCCTTCCAGGATATGATCACAAACTGCAGACTTCCCGGAACGTTGATGCTTCACATCAGCTATATGTTCTTTTACGCGGGTTCTAATTGATCTTTTTTGTTTGTCCTATATAAGAGAGACCACATTCACAATCAAGCTTGTACACTCATGCATCTTGTAGAGGAATATGACACTTGACTGATGGTATGAACTGACTAATCTACTTCGGCGGCTTGTAGAATGTTCTAATAGAAGCTCGCTTCAAGATGTAGCCAATCTTGTCTGTGACACCTCTAACATATGGTAGTACAGCAGGCACATGCTCGACTGTGGCTGGCTTCACTCGGTCACTGTGACGTAAGCGCGGGACCCGAAGCTTGTTGTCGTGTAGAACTTGCTTGACGTGCTGAAGCTCAGCGGCCAAGTATTTGCTGTCACAGATCCTTCGTGCTCTCTGTAACAAAGATTTGCCCACGGTAGCTAACTGTGAAGGACGGTGGTGAGATTCACCGTTTAAATATCGGTTTGTATGAGTCTTTTTCCTATACACAGTGTGACCAATGGTGTTGTTAGGATTTCGGATGACTAACACATCTAGGAAAGGTAAGGAATTATTTACTCCATAGTAAATTGAATTTTAGAGTTTATGGAATTAAGATGTTCTAAAAATGCAGTTACTTTGTCTGATTGTAAAATTGTGAAAGTATCGTCTACGTACCGCTTGTAGATCCTTGGTGTAACAGGTGCAGTAAGGAGGGCTTTCTCCTCAAAGTCTTCCATGAATATATCGGCGAGAACGGGAGATACAGGTGAGCCCATCGCAACACCATCTACTTGCTTGTAAAACTCTTCCTTCCGCAATAGATAGCCAGATGTAAGGCAATGTCTGAGTAATACTGCATATTTTGCTGGCATATTATTTTCCTCTAGTTTCCTAGTTATAATTGAGATGCAGTATTCAACAGATAGGCATGTAAATAGAGACTGAACATCAAAACTGACCATGATTTCATTGTCAGTAAGACGTAGGTCTTTTATCTCACTGACAAAATGGTATGAATCCTTAGTGTGAGCTCTTGTGTGTCCTCTGAGTGGTCATAATATTTTAGCTAAGTATTGAGCCAATCTGTAAGTTGGCGAATCAATCTGACTCACTATTGGACGTAATGGAGCGTTCGGTTTGTGTATTTTTGGTAACCCATACAACTTCGGTGGTTTGGCACATGAAGGTATTATCGAATTAACAGTCAAGTCAAGATTCAATTTCTCGGAGTATTTCTTAATTATATAATAATAGTAAAATAAACGCAATAAAATCCGTAAAAGTAGTTTCAATCAATGAGTAGTGTTCGCGTAAATATAAGAAATCGGATGTAATGATATTATTATTAATAATGCTATTCGCATGTTGGTATCCCATTGACTGTATGCTAGTTTGACATAATTATATTAAATGATATGTAATTAAAAACAAAATTAAACATAATAGCTGTATTCTTACGATGTATATAGTAGGAATTGCATTAGATTTTAGCCTTCGCCATTTCCCTTCGTTAACAAAACAATGTTTGGAGAAGCGTTTTGAGCAAGCGTGGCTATTCTTTGTCCAATGGTTTGCGTCCGTGGAATTACTCTCATCCAGTTTTTTACAATTCTTTATAATTTTTAGGCATACTTAAACAACGAAAATATAAAGAAGAATGTCGATATTGGGTTGTCGACTTTGCCGATATGCCTTAAAATCGCATCACTATTATTGAAAATAAATTTTATATTTCAATGTCATTTAGCGATTATATATAACAAATAGTCTCATTTAAAAAAACCCGACTTGTTATTTTGAAAATAATGTGAAATACAATTTTAGTGTAATTTAATTCTAGGATAATAAAATCGTACACACCGGTGGAAGCTTACGAATTCTGAACCTAGTTTCTTACGGGAAGAATGGGATTTGCATCCTAGTATAAAACAAGCCATCTCTATTGATATATTTTATTTAAAGATATAATTTTATAATAATATTTTAGTAAAATACTAAAGACAACAGACGTCAAACATTACATTAAATAATACGACTTAATTAAAACTACATTTGTCAAATAAATCAGCCAGTACGCTCTTGGCTAAATTAATTACGAGCTTATAAACTTTTTGAAGTGAAAACGCATCGTTATAATTTGAAAGTCTGATGATACGAAAAAGCGACAGTAAAAAGAGACGGACACATAAATTCATAAGATTTAATATGGGAGAAAATGAAATAGGAAGCATTATAGATTATAGCTCAATGCTATAATCTATCTAGATATAGGCGTGGCCTACGCGTTTTGTTCAACAAGGTACGAAGGTGTCGTGTGCCTATGGATTAAATAAGCAGTGAAGACGTACCAAACCTCATATTCGTAATAGGTAAAATTAATATAAATCTTTTTGTAATTAAAGAGTACTATATAAGGTATATCGGAAAGAGGAATATAATATCAGTGTCACACACACACACATACACACATATATATATATATATATATATATATATATATATATATATATATATATATATATATATATATATATATATATATATATATTAAAAGGATTGTTGCATTTATTTACTATACAATTATTTTTTTATATTTTATGCCAAACTTGTAATTTAAATTATAATATTACATAAATAATATGTAAAATACAAATACATTAAGTATTTGTATTTTATATTTCATTTCATTTGAAGGTTTCACTTCTGTCGCATGTGAGCTACACGCATATTTTTTTATTTAGTAATGTAAAAAGATACCAAAGATGACCACTTGGCATTTATAATTTCACGCATAAATTATACGCAACATCTTTAAATTGATTAGTATCTTTTTGCCATATTTGAAAGTTAAATTAGAAAAAGCAAAACAAAACACAAATACTTTTTAGTTTTGTCCTATTTAAAGTACAAAGTAACACTGTTATCGTAAACTTAAAAACAGAACTCGATAAGCGTAGTCTCGCTTCGAGATCTACACTAGTACTGACTACTGACTAGTACTGGGAGCGTGCGGGGTGAGCAGCGATGGTTGGACGCGGTGCACACCCGCGCGTTACCTCAGCCCCCGATTCCTCGGAGCTCACGCGCAGACTGTAATAGGCCTTCTACACGGTCGGGACCAACCACCAACCGTCGTGACCTTCGGTCGAGTTGATGTAAAAATGGACAGTGTAGACATAGGTTGTCTGACCAATATTTTGGTTGAGTCTGATGGCCTTGGTCGCGAGCGCATCCCTCACGACACGTTGGGTCCGTGGTTGACGCCGACCGTGTGGAACGCTGTCGGCCGACGAGAGCGCCTGAGTGCGCGCTTAGCAGTCGCCGCAGGCATACCCTTCCCGCGGATGTTTAACGGCACTATCGATACGAACGGAAGCAAATAACGTGAGGTCCTGACCGAATTCTTGTCACTGTACTGTGATTTACCATGTCTTAAAGTACCATGTCATGTTTGTTTAAAGTAATGCGCTCTTTCAGCCACAATTTTATCCATTTTTTTTCTTTTTTTTCATCTTCATTCAAGCATAGAAACGTTAAAGCTAAACCGATTTTTTGTTGTATAGAAAAGCAAGGAGCCATTTTTAAAAGTAACTACATTACGTCTTTACTCTTTAAATACCAGAGACAACTGACAAGTTGAGTCAACCACCCGACCGTGTAGAACGAATACAAAAATCGGTTGAGCCGACCAAGGTCACGACGGTTGGTGGTTGGTCCCGACCGTGTAGAAGCGCTTTAACTTGTAGTCATATAATATTGAAGAGCGATAACTTCCTAATACAGTTATTTATATACTTAAAAGAAATGTTATCAAATTTTGTTGATAAACCTGGTATGTTCCAAACATAAAGCATTTTGATTTGATTTTGATTTTTTTTAATTCCTGGATGCGGTGGCTCAGGACCATACCTTGTGTGTATGTTGACTCAATTTATGTAGAATTGTAAGTTCTCGCTATGCATACGTATGAAAGTAATTACTCTAAGTGTTCTAAAGATAACACAAACAAAATTACCATCTTTTTAAATAATGGAAATATCTCTGTGTAATGTCAAAATAACGTTTTTTTACTAAATGCATATTAAAGTATATACGGTACTTATAATGAAAACAATTAAAAAATTGGCTATTTGTCTGTTTTTTTTTTCCAGCTAAGTTCGCAAAATTACTGAACCAATTTTGACGGGACGTTTACTTGCAGATAGCTGATGTAATAAGGAGTAACTTAGGCTACTTTTATGGTTGAAATATAATTAAGGTTCCGCACAAAAAATAATCAAAACCCATAAAATCCAACCGTAATAAATTCCACGCGTACGAAGTCACGGGGAACATTTAGGTTAGTCCACTACTTCTTCTTCTTTATTAACTGGCTTCACGGCTCTGGTTTCTAGACATTCTGAGCCTATCCTTTCTTTAGGAATCTTCATTTTATGTTCTTTTTCTTCACAGTATGCTGATGCGTCACATTGCGAAGCCCTTAGGGGATTTTGACGACAGCTCGACCTAGCGGACAGTTGATGACGACAGCCACTCAAGTTCATAAGGCGCCCAAGCGATCAAAATAACTTGATGTTTATATCGACATCAAAGCACTTGTTTCGTAGTTTTCTCTAATAGTTCACACGCGCGGGCACTTAATTCACAAAATCACATCACTTTCCGAATCAAAATCCACTTCAAACCATTATTCAAGCGACAATACAGGGGCGACAATCCGTATACGACCAAGTTCCCGTAAAAACCATAGATAAATAAATTGTAGCAAGCTAGTAAAAACCATAGATAAATAAATATGTAGCAAGCTAGTAAAAACTCCCGTTAGTCCACTACAAATCAAAAGACTACAGATTATTATGTATAACGCACAGAGTACTTTGGTGCTATGTTGTTTTATGTACAACACTATCGATAGGTTTATGGATTGGTGGATTGGGGCAAAGACTTTAGTTGGGGTTGTTTTTTAATAATAATAAAAAATGGATTGGGGAAAATGAAGTGACTTGATTTGACTATTAATTTCTGAAAGCGTTTTCATTTTCAAGTTTGCATTTCGGTGTCTAATAAATATTAAAAATAATAACGCTTTAAAAGTTATGGTAAGTCTATAATAGTCTAGTGTAACATTGTCATTGTTAAAAATATTGATGGGCATTGGATTTGGCCCGGTAGTTAAGCTGTGTAAATGCTTTTCGTTATAAAAATCTATTGTTAATTAAAACATTGATATTAATAATTGGAATAGTGTTAACAAGTTAATTACTTGGTAATTTTTTTGTTGATCTATATTAAATTACCATGTGATATTTACACTTTAAACTAAAAAGAGGTCAAAACTCATAGTGATTTTCCGTAATGTAATGAATTTACTATACTTATAGGTCGTTTGTCTTTACGTTTTAAAATGGCCAAAAAAAGAAAACCTTCAACAAAACCTGCTGCCCGACGATCAACTCGACGCGGGAAACAACCAAATGCCGAAACTGTTGTTGGGGAAGGCGAAACTTCCACCCCCGTTGAATCAACTACTTCAGAGCTACAAGCTAATGATAAACCTCCTGAAGATTCATGCATAAACATTTCTGCATCAACAAAAAATAATATTCAATCATCTGAACCTCAGAGCTTGAAACCTAGTATGAAATGTTTACAACCAGTTGTAGCTCTGCATAAGAAATTTGGTAAATATCGTTGTCTATTTAATAATGACGATAATTTGTCGAGAAAGGGTGAAACTGGAAGTGACAGTGAAACTAATAGCAGTATTGAAACTAAGGCAATTGATCCTTGTGCTAGTTCAGAATCTGACTCAAATGCGTTAGATGTTCATTCTGATACAAATAGTGGCGCTTGTCCCAGTCCTCTGACTATTGTCTCAAAATCAAAAGATAATCAAACCACCCAAGCCGTTCCACAGCCATTACCAGAAAAGTCAAAAGCTGCTCCAGTAAAGCCCTTACAAAATTCAAAAAATGACAGTAAAAGAATTTTGCGAGGGAATCATTCAATAACTGATACATCAGTTTTAGTTGAGTGTGTAGAACAAATGGAAAGTATGAAAAGAGATGAAAATGTTAATATACAATCAAGCCAAGAAATTCAAGACATTCCATTGCAAGAACAAATTGAATATGCATGTGACGAAGATGAAATAATTACAGTAGTTCAAATAGTTGAGGATGATAACCAAGAGCTTTATTATAACATTAAGATAGATAGTCCAAAGAGTGAATCAAAATTGCAGCAGATTAATGATAAAGAAATATTAGAAAACAAGAAACGTGATTCTGATTTCCAAAAACATTTTGCAAACTTAAATCTTGCCTCCCAGTCAAGTTCACGAAATTATTCACCTATGGATTGTTCTGAAATTAAATACTCACAAGTAACTGAATGTAATATACCTGATATATTTCTGAAAGAGAATTCAAATGATTTGACAAGGCCTGATCCAAGCTTAACCCCTAGTTCTACTTTATCTGATGATAGTAATTCCTCGAGGGTAACAGAGCATACACAAAATAATTCAAATGATTCAGCAGAGTCCTCTCCTACGGGAGTCAGACGATCTAGCCGAATCAAGACTATTAGCAATATGAAACAGAAAACAAAAGGATATGGTTTAGTCAAGACACCATTAAAGAAAGCTTTAATTACACAAACAAAACTGAAACTTGAAGAATTAGGCTCTGATAGTCAAGAAAAAGTCAGTGAAATTGTTACAAATACAACCTCAAATTCTGCACAATTTCCAGTTCCCTCTGAAATGCCAGTAAAAGTAAAATCCCGTTGGCGGAGATCCAGTGAGCTTGAAATGGGTGCAAACTCTCCAGCTAACTCCCCACTTGCTAGTCCAAGTTTACCTCAAAGATTACTACCCCCACTTGAAGAACAGAATCCTTCCCATGAGGAGCAGAATTGCACTGAGTTAACTAAGGAAGCTTATGATAAGATAATTGAAGAGAGAATGAATCAGTACCAACATTTAGATGAGAATGAGTATCTATGTGATCGTATGATTAGTAAAGACACAAAGAAGATGATATGTGACTGTTTCATGACCAAAGAAGAATTAGAGCGTGGAGAATTAGCATGTGGAGAAGATTGTTTAAATAGATTACTCATGATTGAATGGTAAGAGTTTATAATTTCAATTATTTTTGTGAATTATGATATACTATATTTACTATTTACAGAAAAATTAAGTACAAATAACATTTTTCAGTAATTCTCGGTGCCCTGTTGGTGATCGTTGTACAAATAGACGATTTCAAAATAAGGAAAATGCTGCATTGAAAGTCTTTTATGCAGATAAAAAAGGTTGTGGAGTTGAAGCTAATTCTGTTATTCCTGCGTAAGTTACTTTATTGTACGTTCCCACTATATCTTGTTGATACTTAATTTTAAGTCAAGTTATACAATAATATAACACATAATAATCATTATCATCAAATGGATTACGATGTGGGGGAGGAGGATTTTATTTTAATATTTACTTAAGCTTAGTGTTAGTTGTTTCTCATATTTAACCTAAAAGTATTTTTGTTAGGTAGTATTTTTAATTTAAATAACATACTGTATAATCATTTTACAGAGGTGAATTTCTAATGGAGTATGTAGGTGAAGTCCTAGATTATGAACAGTTTTATAAGCGAGCACAATCTTATTCTGATGAAAACAATCTTCACCATTACTTCATGTCCCTAAAAGGTGACACAGTAATTGATGCAACAATGAAGGGCAACATATCTCGATTCATCAATCATTCCTGTGAACCAAATGCAGAGACACAGAAGTGGACAGTTAATGGAGAGCTCAGAATAGGTTTTTTCAGCAAAAGAGATATTGCTATTGGAGAGGAGATCACCTTTGATTATCAGTTTCAGCGTTTTGGGTAAGTAGCTTATGATTATTTCACTCATATTTTTAATTTAACTGAATATTTTGACTTTTGTTATTAGTCTGCTCATGAAATAAACAAAAATATTTGGCTAACATTATCTCAAGAAGTAACTAACATTATAATACTGCATAATTAAAATCAGGGGGTATTGAATCAATGAACAGTTTAATTGGTTGATTTAATTTGTTAATTGATTGACAAAGATCAAGAATTGTTGATCTTCTACTGCTAGTTATTTGACTTATGTGTGTAAGAAATTAAGAGTACAAGTGAAAAGTATGGCAAATTGTTAGTAGTATTTAAATTTTTAATTTGCAGTTTGTGACAAGTTGCCTGTCAATTCAGAAATGATTGTGCAGCTTAGGAGATTATAAATATTTTAAAAAATATATAAAATAAATAAATAATACAGTTATAGATAATAAACCCCCTAATATAGTATAGTTACTGTTGGATGTGGATCATTTCAACTTTAAAAACAATTACTTAGATAGTCTTAAAAACCGAGTAGGAACTTAATGACTGCTGTGTCTTTTGAATCTAGAGTAAACCACCTAATAAAGCAATTTACATTAGTTAATTTGTTCACTACTTGGCGAACAAAAAGAAACAAGTTTTGTTACATTTACTAAAAAATTGTTGCCGACCCATAGGTATTTACATTTTCTTTGTTAATTAAGGATTATGATTTCTTATATTTACGCGAACACTACACATTGAAATAATATTAGTTTTTACGGAATTTATTGCGTATATTTAACGTTTTAAATACCCGACGTTTCGAACGCTTTACAGCACTCATGGTCACAGGCGGGACAGATGTTAAATGTCCAGATTTCATAGTTAACCGTGGTTACCATAGATTAAAATTTAACTTTTGTTCTGATCTACACAGTAGTTACAATATCAGTTGTGTGTTGTTAAATATATGCAATAAATTCCGTAAAAACTAATATTATTTTAATAATTAAGGATTATTATAAATTTAAATTTATCATGTTAAAATAAGGTGGTGATAATAATAAAGGATCAATCTTTTGATTCCCAGTCATTTTGATGTATTTTTGAGATCCACTTTTTTATATACCATTTCTGTAGACCTCACAGTCAGTAACAATTGAAAATTCCAGCAAGTGGTGTGAGGTGGAGTTCACATATCAGTGATGTGTTTGTTACATGCAGCAAGGTGGCGCAGCGGTGCTACTGTGGAGCAGAGAATTGTCGCGGATGGATAGGTGCCGAGCCTGACTCCGAGGATGATGATGATGAGGTATTAATTAATACAATTATGCTGACCCTGCTGCTGCATTTTTGCATTACATAGATGTCCCACTGTAAACTATTAATATATTTCTGATGGAGCAGCAGTGTGATATTATAAAAAACATTATTTCCACCCTACATATAAATACAACCTAAAACAGCGACCTTGATGGTGCATATTATAAAGTGACGAGGGTGACAACTTAGTTCAAACTGTCTTATAGTTTTTACTTGTTGTTTGCCGCCACCATTGCTTATAAATGTGCGCATAAATACAGGCACATCTATGCAAGTATATGTATATATAGCAGCTAATGGAGCTGCTGGACAACACTTCCCTTTATCTTTATTGCACTTTAACATTTGTAGAATTAACTGTCACTATGTTGTACTTTCGCGTCCTGTAATAGATAGCTGACTACAAAAATGTTAGGGAGAGTTCTAACCTATCATACCTAACATCCTAACAATCCTAGCTTTATATTAAACAGCCCTAAACCTAACCATAAATGTGATATACATAAGTGCTGGATATCTTTACCTGATATATGTGGTAACCGGCGAAAAATGGTGAGGAAATGGATACAGAGGTCACATTTTCTTACTGCCAATCTTGCAGACAAACAAGACCATGGTTAGATGCAAGGTGTCTTTGTCACAGTGAGCCAAATGCTGCAGCCTTCAATGCCACAGCATCAATGGCCAAATACAAAGAAAGCTTATTTACAAGTTACTTAACTACTATGAGACCCGTTTACTGGAATCGAGGCATTCTATCTTAGTCCTCAAGAGTGACAAAGCATCTGCATTTTGATTCTTAAGCAAGGTTAAATGTAGATGTCTATGAGTCACTCAGCGTCCACTTACCATCAGGTGGACCATATGCTCGTTTGTCACCCTTATCCTATAAAAAAAGAAAAGTATTGAAATCAAAAGTCTACAAATTTTTGGGATCCAGTAACCAATTTTGCAACTTAATTAATATTTAATAAATTATATTACAGCTCCATGGCGCAGTGAGAGTACTGAGTTGCATCGCTTGGGGCCGCGGGTTCGAATCCCGCACGGAATAAGTTTTTGTATTGCCTACAAATAATTGTTCCAGGTCTGGATGTTTGTCCCTGTGCAATTTACGTTTGTAAACTGCCTCTACGATAAAGGAGAAAATCCTAGTGTGGGGGTAAATTTTTATAAAGATTTATATAGAATAAAATTATAACCATATTGCATAAACTAATCATTTTTCTGCCAGCTTTATCAAAGTGATAATATTTTAAGCTCATTAAGAGAGACCTAGCGAAGCAATGTCAATTTCAAAATCTTGCATATGACATACTAAAAATATGACTTCTAAATGCACATGGATAGCACTTACACAAATTTTTTAAAGTGTTATTCAATACCTAGTACTACACTGGTAAGCAAAAATACGAAATAAAATTAATATAGATAAGTGTTGATAAATGGAGTTGTGATAACTCAGGGGTTGAGCGCTTCTTATAAATTGTACATTGCACAAGCAACTTGGGTTCGATGCCTGTCGGTAGCAAGATATTCTTAATTGCATTTTTAAGTGCTGAATCATAATGTGCTAAGCGATGATACATCGTGAGGAAACCTGTATGACTGAGGAATAAAAATATTTGAAAGACATGTGAAGTTGTCTATCACTCACTGAAACAATGTGGTGGACAAAATGCTTTATAATCCTCTCAAAAATGACAGAATACCTGTATCCAGGGATATGTATATGTAATTAACTAACAAAGTGCATATTTAATATTCAGGAGGAAGGAGATGTCTCAACATCGAAAACAGGAACAATTGAATCTTCAGAAGAGCCATGTGGAACAGATGTACTGTCTGAACAACCACAGCCTGGAATTCCTAAAATCAAAAGGGAGCGAAAATATAAGCCAAAAGCACCTGACTTGGTGCAGGATGCTGATGTAAGATTGTACTTTATTTACTATTTTGATTTCGGTAATTCAGTATCTATAATATGAAATGTTTTTTTTTATTACAAATAATTATCATTTATAAGAGACACATGGAAAATTGATGTATTAAATGTTTAATTTCTCAGTATTTATTGAATAGCGCTTTCCTTAAAAAAAATTATGAGGGCTGCACTGAAAATTTCGGGAATCAACGAAGTGACACAACATTACTATTTAAAAATGTATTTATTGCTTTTCGAAGTATTCTCCGCGAAATTTGACACATTTTCCCGTACGATGGAACCAATCACTGTAGCAACCATTCCATTCGGAAATTGGGGTCTCCAAAATGACCGTTTTGTAGGCGTCCACAGCTTCTTCAGGTGATGAAAATCTGTCCACGCAATTTATTCTTTATTTTAGGGAAAGTATAGAAATCATTAGGGCTTATAATTCTATGTTTTTTTGTTCTAAAAACTCTTTTGTTCTGTGTGCGGTGTGAGAACTCGCATTGTCGTGATGGAGGATGATGTGGCGGTTGCAGTTCTCTTTACGGAGTTCAGAAACAACCTGTGGCAAACAAATGCTAGCATACCATTCTGCATTAACCGTTCTTTGTCCCTCAAGAGAAATAATTGTAACATGGCTGGTTTTGGAGACAAACGTGGCCACCATTTTTTTTTGCAACACTCCGTGAACGAACGATTTTTGTTGGCTTTAACTCATTTTCGAACACCTAAACTTGTGACTGGTTTTTTGTTTCGGGTTCGTACGTGTATGTCCAGGATTCGTCACCTGATACGATGTTGTATACTGCATTTGAGGATCCTGCGTGGAATCTTTCGAGAGTTCTGACGCACCAAGTAACGCGAGCCGCTTTTTGCTTTTCACAGAGCAAATGCGGTTATCCATTCGGAAAACAACTTTTTTACACCTAATTGTTCATGCAAGATTATTTGTATTTGACACATGCCAATATCTAAAGTTGCCTGAATTTCGCGGTATGTCACATGTCGATCTTCCTCAATCAGCTTACGCACAGCATCAACGTTTTCTTGGGTGACTGCAGTGTTTGGACAACCTTGACGGGGATCATCACTGAGCTTGACACATCCATGTTGAAATTCAGCAAACCAGCGATAAATTGTGGTTTTGGATGGGGCTTCATCACCAAATGCAGAAATCATCCGGTCAACACACTGTTTTTGTGTTAAACCACTTCGAAAGTCATAATAAATCATCGCTCTTGAATTTTCTCGAGTCAATTCCATTTTCTCAACGACTAAACAAGTTTGACAAAACCTTGTGACAAGACCGAGAATCTTTTTTTAAATAAATAAATGGTATTCGATTTTTAAAAACAAGGAGTTTTCAATTAAAAAGATTTTAATATGATAGGAACAGTGGAAATATTCCATTCCCGATACTTTTAGTGCAGCCTATGTACAGTTTACAAACTCTTAACTATAACAAACACTTTTTTTAATTCTGGATATAAAACGGACTTTTTATGTATTGCTACATTTTGGTATATTTAAAATAATTGTCCAGTAATCAGCACTAATCGTATAAATATTATTTCAAATAAAAATTGTTTTTACTGATTTTATCCCACCTTGGATTTTATCACACCCATGATCATGGATGCTGAAAAGTGCTTGCGTAAACATAAGTAATCATTATGTAGAAATATATTGCTTATATTAAGGTTTTCTAAAAATCAATTTGTTTATCATATTAAAGGTTCAATTTGGTAAGGTCAAGTGAAATTACTAGAACAAGCTAGTCATAACTAAACTGTTGATGTTTTCATTTTTAAATTTACTGATATTGAAAATTACTTTTCAACTATGGAGTGTAGAAGTAAGGAGTACAGACTGTGTATTAAAAAGTGTCCATAGAAAACCGTTAAATAAAGGTGGCGCCATTATAGCTACGGGCAAAATTTTAAAGAACGTGCCGAAAAATATTAGTGGGATAGAAGACTTTTTTGAGGTTATATTTAGTAAATAAAAATATTTTAGATTTTAGAGCTACTAAGCAGTTTAGCAGCACACTTCAAAACGTCGACAACTGCTTCATGTGTTCAAAATGCTTTATCCCAGTAGCTACTCCAGCGCTGTTGTGGAGAGTTTTTGAACTTTTATTTACTGCTTACAGATGAACACTTTTTCAACTATTCTACTATGGGAGTTGGTACTCCTTACTTCTACACTCCATATTTTCAACTTAAGAGACATGATTAAATGACAATGTTTGTCGGTACAGATCGAAGATGACCTCGAAGCGCTCAGCCGCACGGGTGTGAAGAACCAGAGCCACACGCTGCGTTTGTCGCGGACTGTAGTGCGCGCGAAGACAAGACGTGCGCAGACCGCACTGCTGAGACTTCTGCGGGACGCCGACCTGCCGTGCCGCCGCCTATTCCTCGACTACCGCGGCTTGCGGTTGCTGGCGCCCTGGTGTGCTGATGCCTCCACCGAGTTCAGGTCAGTACCGAATTTAGGTCAATTGTCGAGTCGGGTTGTATTGACTGACACCCCTGCCAACCCCTCGTCGTTGCTGACTTCCTGGTATTTTGACGCCTCCACCGACTTCAAGTCACTGACCGAGCTTTGGTCCCCTGGTGATTTTATTTTAATAGAATAAGGATGACAAAGGACCACACAGTTCACTTGATGGTAAGTAAATGCTGTGGCCCATAGACATCTACATTTATCCTCTATTAAGAATCAAAACGCAGATGCATTACCACCTCTGGGGGCTAAGATGGAATGCTTGGTTCCAGTAAAAAGGGGGTCCGGATCTCTACACTCACCATATGAAATATTGCAGTATTAAGCTGCTCTTTTTCGCTGGTATTCTGTAAGAGTGTGGTCCTTCCCCGGCCGAGCCGACCCATTCGTGCTACAACCGTAATATAGCTGTAGCGTTGCTCTATCACATATAAATTTTTTACCGCGTCTATGGGTGCCTCTATAGGTCCCATAGCTGTAATACCGAAACAGACCGACTCCTCGACCACATCCAAATGGCTACAGATTCAATGCTACAGCAGATCCCATCCGCAGAGACCGTGATCCTTGGCGATTTTAACGCCCACCACGCCGAATGGCTCTGTTCACTTATAACCGATCATGTAGGGAGATCTGTTTATGACTTTGCTTTGGCATATGGTCTGACACAACTGGTTACTATGCCTACGCGGATGTCAGATGTGGAAGATCATACACCTTCCCTATTGGACCTTCTACTGACCTCTCACCCGGACGGATATCAGATTTCCGTCGACGGTCCTTTAGGCTCGTCGGACCATTTTCTTGTTAATGCTGGTGTTCCACATAGCTGCGTGTTATCGCCAACGCTGTTTCTTCTGCATATCAATTATATGTTGCAAACCCGTAAAATTCATTGCTATGCAGATGACAACACTGGTGATGCTCTGTACACCGGCCGTGCCAATATTTCTCGGGAAAACGTCTCCGAGTACCGGGACAAACTTGTGTCTGAAGTCGAGTCTTTGCTGAACAGAGTCTCGGATTGGGGGCGACAAAATCTAGTCCAGTTTAACCCCCAGAAGACACAAGTTTGTGCGTTAACCGCTAAAAAGAACCCCTTTGTCGTATCTCCTCAGTTTGAAGGCACTCCCCTTGCTGCCTTAGCTAGCATCAGAATCCTCGGCGTCGACATATCGAATAGTGTGCAGTTTCATGGTCAGCTGGGGAAGGCCAAATTGGCCTCTAAAAAGCTTGGCGTGCTCAGCAGAGCGAGACAGTATTTCATACCGGCGCATCGCTTGCAACTTTACAATGCGCAAGTTCGGCCTCACATGGAATACTGTTTTCATCTCTGGGCCAGGGCACCCCAGTGCCAGCTCCTTCCACTTGACCGCATCCAGCACAGAGCGATTCGAATCGTCGACGACCAAATTCTTTCTGATCGGCTTGATTCATTGGCGCTGCGTAGTGATGTTGCATCCCTTTGTGTTCTCTATCGTATCTACCATGGGTAGTGCTCTGAGGTTTTGTTCGGATTAGTTCCAGCCGCCAAATTTCACGAACGCACATTGCATCAAAATTCCCGATACCATCCTCACCATCTGGATGCTTGGTGGTCTACTACAGTACATTTTACTAGGAGTTTTCTTCCTTGTACAACTTCTCTGTGGAATTGTTTACCACCGTCGAATTTTCCGGACCGATACAACTTAGGAACCTTTGAGAAAAGAGCTTAATCCTTTTTAAAAGGCCGGCAACGCATCTGCAATTCCCCTGGTGAGCTGAGCTGTTGTCATCTGCACGGGCTTTCTGCCCAGCAGGTATCGGGCCTTAGGGTATGCCCCCTTTACCCGGACATTCCTCACGGCACACTACAATGTGCCGGTCCTGGGCGCCTTTGATGTTAAAAGGTGTTGTAATGTAAATAACGACTTTTCGTCGTAATCGGGTAATTTTTCAAAAAAAGGATGGTTATCTCAATAATTGTGTTTAACACAATTATTTTGTCTAGGTTGGCCTTTCTGCGGCATTGTGGGGTTTACTCGACTCCCTAATCCTGGCCCGTTGTCGGCGCCGTTAAACATACCGCGCGCCAGCCGGACCACGAATTCGTGTAGGCTCTCTGTCTTCAGGTTGGCCGCTATGACGTCGTTTCGGACGTAGCGACCCGCACCGACTATGGTTCTCAATGACAAATTCTGCTGGGCCTGAAGTCGCCGCTTCTGATGATCGCTCAGGAGTGCATACCAGGCCGGAGCAGCGTATGTTAGCAAGGGTCTTATGTATGTTTTGTAAATAGTCAACTTCGACTTTGTCGGTAACTTGGATGTCAGGACAGGGCGGAGCATCGCCTGCGCACATCGAGCCCTGCGGATAACAAGGTCGACGTGCGCAGTCATGCGCAACATCCTGTCGATCCGGCATCCAAGGTGGGTCACGGCCTTCTCATATGCGATCTCCTGGCCTCTGAGGGTTACGGTGGTGGTAAATTTCTATAGCGGCGAGTGAGCAGAGCGGTCGTCTTGCTAACATTGACGGCCATCCAACACTCATCCAACCATGGTGGCAGCAAGTCCAGCAGACGTTGCATCCTTGCAGCTGCAATATAGGCTCTTCTGGACGACGTGAAGTATGCGCTGTCATCCGCAAATAGCGCCAGCTCGACGTCGTCCTCCCATTCGTGCAGATGCCCTGCCAGGGTAGGTATGTCATTGGTGTAAGCCGCGTACAGGATTGGAGACAGACAGCTGCCCTGTGGCACACCAGCTGTTATGGGTTTTATTGCGGACTCGGCGTCCTCTACACAGACGTAGAACTTCCTGTCTACGAGGAAGGACGCCACTAGCCGCAATATAGCAGGAGTGACACTGGTCTGGTCGTCTGAATTCAGGGTGCCACACCCGGTCGAACGCCTTCTCGATATCGAGAAAGACGCCCAACGATATGCGGCCGAGGTTGTGCTCGGCCGCAAGCAGGTGCAGCACTCTGGTCAGCTGTGTTGCTGTTGAGTGACCCCTCCTGAATCCATGTTGCTCCGCCCGAAGTTGGATGCACGGGCGGAGACGTCTCAGCAGTAATCTTTCACACAGTTTAGCTATATGCGGTAGCAGCGTGATCGGCCTGTAGTTGGCAGCTCTACGCCTACCTTCCCGGGTTTCGGCAAGACGATGATTTTGCCTTTTTTCCAGTCCTCCGGGAATTGGGATGTCCGCAATATGCCATTGTAGAGCCGACCTATCTCTACAAGGACTCTATTGGGCAGCTGTCGTAGTGCAGCGTTGGTAATCCCATCGTGCCCCGGCGCCTTCCTCGGTTGCAGGCGGGTTACTATGGTGTTTCGGTTGTTCATGGGCGGCGGTAGTGACTTACCATCAAGTGAGCCGCATGCTCGTTTGCCCCCTCTTCTATTAAAAAAATCCCTCATCAAGCTATATAGTGTGATGGTGTAACTCTGATTGGAATTGTTGCTGGTGGGAATCACACCACAACTGTGTTGTATTTTGTCATTTTAATAACACACACTATGTTCAAAAATACCTCAAAACCTGAAAACTAAGTAGTACAACCAGTGCGTGTTGCCAGTGATGACTTACGGATCTGAGACGTGGTCCTTCACCGCTGGCCGTATGAGGACGCTCAAGGTCGCTCAGCGAGCTATGGAGAGGGCTATGCTCGGAGTTTCACTGCGTGATAGACTCAGAAATGAGGATATCCGCAGTAAAACCAGAGTGGCCGACATAGCCCAACGGATTAGTAACCTGAAGTGGCAATGGGCTGGCCATTTAGCTGGAAGAACCGACAACCGTTGGGGAAAAAAGGTTCTCGAGTGGCAGCTTCGTACCGGTAGGTGAAGTGTAGGGCGACCCCCCACTAGATGGAGTGACGACCTGGTAAGACATGCAGGAAGTCGATGGATGCAGCTGAGGACCGTGCTTTGTGGCATACCTTGGGGGAGGCCTATGTTCAGCAGTGGACTTGTGAAGGGCTGTTATGAATGAATGAATAATGTCCAAAAACAGGTTATAAAATATTGGTTTGTAATTGATAGTGATTCATTTATTTAATACATGGAAACCAAATATCAAACATCGAAACGAAGTCAATCATGATTCCCATTGGTTACTCAATTACTGGCTGGCTTTGAATTCTACACTCAATTATTTTTATCTCTTTTTTATGTCTTCTGGTCTGCATCTCTAATAAATATTTCGTTCACTCATTACTGCCTATGAAAAGTCCACTGTTGAACACACGCCTCTCGTATAGATTTCTACATGACAAATATTTAAATTGTTGTGGTTACCTGAATAATATATAAGGAAGCTTGTGTGTCGTTTATTAAGTGATGATATAAAAAATTCTTTACAATTCTCTGTTTATTTGTAGGCTAGAAATGCTTCTGACTGTGGACCGGTTACCAATCACAAACAAAACAATGGTGCAAGAGAGCCGTTTCTTCACGATCATCGAGCGATGGCGTAGCACCATAGATCCTCCAACTGATACTCAGTTTATTGATGAGGCGACCGGTAAATATGGTTTTCTTGAATAGATTAGTGTACAAAACAATAATAAAAACAATAATTTACAAAAACGTATATGTTCTATTTTTTTTGCGCTCTCGTCATCAGCCCGTTAAAGTCTGATCACGGGACTCTCCCGTTTTAGGGAGTATTTTGCATTAATACTTGGCATGCAGATTGACAGAGATCGCAGTATTAAATGTCTCGCATCAATATCGCTATTGCCTGTCGCCGGTATGGGTACGACTAGCGTAAAAGATATTATTATTAGAGATGGGCCGAATATTCGTTTTATGTTCAGTATTCGGCATATTCGGCAGCTTTACCGAATATTCGTATTCGGCCGAATATTCGTCTAAATCACCGAGCATTCGGACCGAACATTTTTAGTGTCCAATGTATTGAAATGTACGAATTGAGTAATGCGATGTCTGTTACTGTTGAAAGTATATTTTATTTATTCTACTCGTACTTACTCTAGTCCAGAATGCCTCAATAAAATTTATACATTTATGTTTTTGAGACACTGCAAATTTAACATTTTATTTAATTTCTATTTGTTAAAATAGAAATATGATAAAATGTTTTTGAAATCAAACAACATTAATGAGAAACATTACATTACATTAGTACATTTCACTTTACTTAGGTCGTCAGTTTCCCTAAAATAAGTCCAAATAGTAAATCTCCTGCCGCTCATTTTTATCATATAATTATCAATTTTCACTAAGAATAAAACAAACGAAATACTTTTTTTATCACAAGAATATTCAAAACATAAGCATGTGCCGTCAATTTGCTCAGTACTAGATGATGCAATTAACTGTCAGGTGCGGCGGGGAACGAGGGGCAGGGTCCGGCGCTAATCCCGCGCGCTTTAGGGTAACAAGTTTCGACAAAAATTGGTTGGGTACCGAGGTTATTCTGCCGAATAATGTTCGGCCGAATATTCGGTTCGGTAAAAGTTTTATTGAACATTCGGCCGAATATTCGTATTCGGTGAAATCCATATTCGGCCCATCCCTAATTATTACTATTATACCGCTATCAATCGGGAGCCATTACAGTTTTTGGCTTTTCCCAGAGTCCCCTCTTACGACACTCACGGAATGAAATGGGATAATGAATTTTAAGCCACGGTGCCAAGATCAAGTGGACAAAAATTGATTTAAGCATTTGCAAAGGAATTTTTGTGGCATCTAGTAAACTACGGGATCACTTTAAAATTTTTAGGCTTTAAATTTTATTGTACAAACGGATTAATCATAGAAATTTATTAATTATAGAAATATCTGAATGATCAGCGTTCAGCGACCAATGCGTAAACGCAGCATTTATCCGGGGAACTACTTACTAAGCCAGAGAAAGTGAAAGATCTCACAGTTTACATGTGAACTATAGCTATAGCAGTAATCACGTTAGGTCATGCAAGGCGCACTGTGACTAGTTCCGCATCTGACCCGCATAGCTGCTTATTTTATGTACCTTAAATATTGAATGAAAGTATGTATTGCTACAGGTTTACCAGTAGACATGCCTGAAAAGAATAAAGAAAATACGGTTATGCTGGAAAAAGTTAGAGATCTCTCAACTCAGTTGCTAGAAAGATGGTCCAGTTTGAAGGTATGCTTATGGAAAATCTATCTTATAAATTAAGATTTTTTTTGTTTATATCTTCTTTGCTTTCATTAATGTTACGTTTCCGGATAATTTAATGATTTTGATGGCTACTAATGCTGGATATTATAATGATTCACTAAAATTAAATCATCTGTATTAACAATATTTAGTAAATAAGATATGTTGATGAATTATTATTACCTAATATAAACTTGTTCATATAGTTTATTGCCGTAAAAATCTACGAAAATAATCCAGCTGACAATGGTTGTGTGGTCATATGGATGTTTGTAGATGTGGTAATTACGAAAATGAAACCTATTAGCTCATTAATGTTATAATATATGAAATGTTGACAAAAAATCCTTTTGGAAACGAATATTCATATTGTTATTCATATTCGTATGGTTTAAATCTAATTAAAAAAATAAGTGTCTGGAATTTTGTAGTTAAATATTTACAATATGTTTTTAGGAAGTGTTCAAAATCCCTAAGAAGGAAAGAATACAACAAATGAAAGAGCACGAGCGGCAGGCGAATGTGGAAAGGCGAGCGGCCGACTCTAGTGGTTCCCGCGATCGTGAGCGCGAACGTGAACGTGAACGCGAACGAAGGGATGAACGCGACCGACGAGATGACAGGGAACATCGCGAGAGGGAACGGGAAAAAGAACGCGAACGCGAAAGGGAAAGGGAGAGAGAACGAGAACGAGATCGTGAGCGTGATCGGGACAGGTATAGAGAACGTGAGCGAGAGCGCGACAGGGAAAGAGATAGAGATGAAAGGGACAGGAGAAAAAGAAGAGGAAGCCCCGAAGGGCGAAGAAGTATAAGGTGAGTTTATTTATTTTTTGTATGTTGTTTATTTATATTATATTTACGACGTTATATTACGACGTTGTTAGTTCTTTTATTATTTAAAGAAAAAATTAGTTCTCTTCTCTAGGACCTCTCTCAATAACTAGAATCTTACGTCTAAGAGGATTTTATGGTTACACATTCACAGTTATGTGTCAAATGTAAATTATCCAGACTGAGGTATAGAAGCAGTATCAAAAACATTTAGTACTGCAATCGATAGGCGATTCTGGTCTAGCTGACCAACCAAGAAACTGGATGATAAAAGAAAAACTTCTTTCCTTTTTAATATTTGACTACAACCTTAGCCATTACTGTTATGAACAAATGTTACCTAAACAACATTACCTCTTCCTCTTCATCATCATAAGGACATAAACCGTTATGTCTTCAACATGAGCTCTTAGAAGAATTTGCTGCTATTATCATTTGTTGTAATTACGAAGATGCTGCTGCCTGCCTGCCCTGCAGGACGTGGTTCTTCACTGCTGCCCGTATGAGGGTGCTCAAGGTCGCTCTGCGAGCTATGGAGAGGGCTATGCTCGGAGTTTCTCTGCGTGGTAGACTCAGAAATGAGGATATCTGCAGTAAAACCAGAGTGACCAACATAGCCCAACGGATTAGTAAGCTGAAGTGGCAATGGGCTGGCCATATAGCTCGAAGAACCAATAACATATGGGGAAGAAAGGTTCTCGAGTGGCAGCCTCGTACCGGTAGGCGCAGTGTAGGGCGACCCCCCACTAGATGGAGTGACGACCTGGTATGACATGCAGGAAGTCGATGGATGCAGGTGGCTCAGGACCGTGCTTTGTGGCATTACTTGGGTGAGGCCTATGTTTCGCTGTGGACTTGTGAAGGGCTGTAATGATGATGATGATGATGATGCTGCCTGCCTGTTTCATTTTCCCTCTGTCTCGTACGACAACCATGGGACAATATTTATACTCCTCTCTACTCCTTTTTACTCCTCCACTACACGGTTAATTCGTGATTTATACTATGCCCCCTATTATTGGGCTAAATGCAATATTGATCTTACATCTTGTGACAGGCTAAACGAGCGAGTTTTGGCTTCGGTGCCTCCAATGAGTAAAGAGGAACGTAGAAGAGCGTTTGCTGAGGCGGCCGCCGCGGCTGACGAATCACGTCGTCAGCGCGAGCAGCAGCCCTGGCCCTATTGGCCGCAGCCCGACGGCTTCGCGCAGGTACACACCATTCTCACCTCTATAAATTAAGACTAGGGCGACATATGCACGCTGTCCTGGCCCTACAGGCCGCAGCACGACGGCTTCGCGCAGGTACACACCATTCTCACCTCAAAATTAAGACTAGGGCGACATATGCACCCGCCCTACAGGCCGCAGCACGACGGCTTCGCGCAGTTACACACCATTATTTCCTATATATAATAAAACTTTAGAGCGACATCTGCTCGCTGCCCTGGTCCTACTGGTTGCAACACGACGGCTTAGTGCAGGTTACACACCATTCTCTCCTCTATGTATTAAGACTTTAGGGCGTCATTTGCTTCCTGTCCCGGTCTTATTGGCCGCAGCCCTACGGCTTCGTGCAGGTACACACCACTCTCTCCTCTATAGGTTTAGACTATAGGGCGACGTAGCTTCGCGCAGCTAAGCTATGTCGTAACTCTCCGCCTTTATGTTTTAAGTCTTTAGGGCGACACCTGTTCGCTGCCCTGACCTTACTGGGCAGCCGAGGCTCTACCTAATGCAACGTCTACTCACCGCCGTGGTTCCATTGGCCGGCTGCAGCTGATGGCTTCGCGTGCAGGTTCACAACAATGTAGACTTTATATGTTCGAAAAGACTTTTCATATTCACAACATGTAAAAAATGTATTAATAAACACTTTCAAAGATATTTTGCCTAATAAAGTTATGTGTTCCTTCAGATGTTTCCCCCGGGCATGATGGGTGGCCCGCCAAACATGTTGGGCCCTATAATGCCGGGAATGGTACCGGGCATTTTACCTCCAGATGCACCAAGCGAATGGATGGGACCTAATGGGGAATTTCAAGGTCCACCCACGTTTTGTCCACCGTTCCCTGGACCACAATTCTGCATGCCACAGCCGAAGTAAGTGTATTGAAATCTGTATTTTGATTTACAGTATTAACGATGATTTTTTGTATTATTCTTTTAATCATCCACCCATAGTATAATTCTTTCAATCAACCCGGCGGGTTGCGCTGGGGGTTTTCGTCATGTGACCTGCGACCGCGCCTGTTAGTCCGGAATAATCTCTTGTGCGCTATGGCCGTGCCGGTGGGAGGTCGAGAAATTAGTCTAGAATAATCTCTTGTGCGCGACGACTGTACCGGTTGAAGTTGGGAAGTTAAGTTAGAATAGTTAGGTCTCGTGGAGACTGCATCCTTTGCATTGTCTTATTTTGTTTGTATACATGACAACGAGGCTTTTCTTGAGTTTTGATTGACTAATTTAACTTCGATTGCAGACAGTATTCACTTAGCATCAGGTAGACTGTGTGCTCGTTTGTCACCCCCACTCTGTAAAAAATTATCAACTCACATCATAATTATATCATTTATATATCATATCAAGCAAGTGTCTTTATATGGTACTTGATACCTGCTTTATAATGGCTGTCTTATAAAAGACTACTACATAATGAAATTTTCTATTCATTCATTCCATGTGTACAGATTTTTAGTTTCAAAGTCATCAGAAGTCACAACATTGAAAAGCCATTTTTATAACCGGCACATTTAATAGCATGCATGCGCGCTTGTATGAGACTTGTGTGCCCCGCGTATATTACGCGTCTAAATTGCGCGACATGAGACTTCGCTTATATATTATTTGTAGATAAATCGTTCTTCAATCATATAGTACATAATTTTAATGTATCATCAATAGTTTTCTCAATGTACGCCAAATAATAAACTTTACAGGCACGATTTTGCTACTATACATAGTAATAATAATATACATAAATTAGAGATCCTTAAGAGAATTGCAATGATGTAATCCACATTATTGCAATTTTATTAAGGATCTCGAATTTTTTTGAAAATAAATTATAAACCTATGTTACTTCCTCATAATTTAAGCTTTTTAAAAAATGGTTAAATTCGGTCCAGTAGTTTCGGAGCTTACTCGGTACAAACAAACAAATAAAAATCTTTCCTCTTCATAATATTAAATTATTAGTATAGAAGGGCTTTATAATAAGCTAAAAAGTGAAACAGACATACGCAACATGGAGTATGTCATTGTAATTATGTGTTACAAAGTTATTACTTGTTTTTATTGGCAGGAACCTTATTATAATATTATTTTGTTTACTTTGCGTTGGCTTTTGAGAATTTTATATTTTTTCTAATTACTTATAATTATCCATTTAACAGTATGATGGGCTTTGGCATGGGCGGGTTCATGTTTGGGCAGCAACTGCCGCCTTCATTCGCGCCGCCGATGCCCGCCGGTCCTATGCCTCCCCAGCCCCAACCGACGCAGCCTACGATGCCCACGATGCCCACGATGCCCGCATTGCCCACGCAGACCACACAGCCCACGCAACTTCCACAAACCCTCGCTGACGCTCGATGCGAGGTAATGTGACATGATAAATATTTTTTTTGGATAATTCTGTGGCCAATTTGACACACATATACACATATATATATATATATATATATATATATATATATATATTATGTTGGGTTGTACTTCAAACTTCCCACCAACAAGAAAATTACTTATTCTTAAACTTCACTCACATCCTTTACGAATTTATATTATAAAGTCTTATAGTATTTATGTACATTATTTATATTCATGGAAGAAGGCTCACAATAACAACAACAAAATTTAAATAAATTATTAGTATACATTACCATTTTCTCAGAATAACAAAGACTTATAAAAGTTAAACGCATATGATTTGTAGGTTCAAAAGAATTAAAACCGGAAATATTATATTCCTTTTTAAGATATACAGAACAAAGAAGATAATGTATTGCAACGTAATCATGATCATTGACATTACAACAGACAGATCAAAATACAACTTGCAATCCCAGCCGCGTAAGCGATTCGAAACTAAGTGTATATCCTTCTCTATCTCTGTCTATGGGTGAAAGCCAGCCTACATTCAGCAGAGAAAACTTGATGGAATGTAATGAACAAAAAAAGGAAACTAGTGTTGTACAGTCTGTACAGTTATTAGTTCCTTTGTCACTTCAATGTATACTTACAAATAAAATTGAAGAATCAATAATACAGTACGGATTAAGTAGCTATGGTGGAACCTGGAAATCGCATCTTTGTAGAATCCATGAATTACCACTTAGAATCATCAAAGCAATTGTCCCCCCTAAAATCAAACAACAATATAAGGACAATTACTACAAATTATTTAAATTCTGTGGTATCCTGCCAATCGAAGGAAAATTAAAACTTACTTTACTTGTAGAACAGTTCTTTAATACAAAATTACAAGTCCTACCTACGTACAAACATCAGCTTAGAAGTATATATAACCCTAAGTTATATATTGATTAAAACTACTTTTACGGATTTTATCGCGTTTTATTTATATTAATTTTAATACCCGACGTTTCGGGTGCTTTTCAGCACCCATGGTCACGGGGGACTGAGGTGACTGACGTCCCAATGTCAAAGTTATCCCGGAGTACCTTCAGCTTTTTAATTATTGTCTTTGGTCCGATCTACGCAGAATGAACTAACTGTATTTTGAAGTCTTGCAGTGGTATGCTTGGGTTTAGTTTTAATTTTATTAATTATAGGATCCCAAGCAGGTGGTAGTACCCAGCCTCCTTCTCTATTGAAATTAGGATGTTTTTTAATTTCAATAGCCTCACGTATCATCCTTGGTAGGAATCGATGTTCTTTCGCGAGGATTTGTGGTCTATCAAATCTGATGTAATGGTTGGGGCCATCTAGAATATGATCGCAAACTGCAGACTTCCCGGAACGTTGATGCTTCACGTCAGCTATATGTTCTTTTACGCAGGTTCTAATTGATCTGTTTGAGATTACATAGAAAAGATAGATAATGAAACTGTGAGAAATATTGCGTGGTTTTTGAGGCACAGGGGTGAAAACACCACCAACGCCTTCACTCCAGGCTGCTACTGGGAATTTCTTACAGAAAAACCCAATGATCTGGGGCCACGCCAGTGCCCCCGCCAAGTCGAGCAAAAAAGCGGCACGGCCGTACCATACTTTTCTCGAAGCAATTCAGGCCATTTTCGACCCCCACTTTTCGAACTTCGTTGTGGATAGTACTAGAAACCTGAATTTTTAGAAACCAAGCAGGCATTGTATGGATACGGTATATTTCCAATTTCATTCAATTTGAACGAGTAGTTTAGGAATTATAATTAGTCTTAGTTTCTTAATTTTGTCACTCAGTGACTGACCGATCATCAAAACTCTAAGGCATATTTCCAATTTCATTCAATTTGAACCAGTAGTTTAGGAATTATAATTAGTCTTAGTTTCTTAATTTTGTCACTCAGTGACTATAAATAACTATGTAATCCCTTAAGGATATATAGGATTACAAAGTTATATTTGCAGTGAATGAATCAGTGTACCTGTATATGTATAATATAATGAAATAAAAGGTGTAGATAGGTACTTTTTGGTAATCAAGAAGTAGAAGGTACTGGAAGGAAAAAAAGTGGGACTATCTGCAAAAAGAAATGAGATGCTATCAAAAACATAACTTGTAAAAAAATCAAGTCTTGCAACTTAGTTCTTCTGTCGTAAAAAGTTGTGAGATCCATGTAATACCAAGTCAGTTAATTTATTCATTCCCTACTTAAGGGTCCTTCTGTCTTAAGTTATTACGTAATTAGCTAACATAACATCTTGTTGTGACCATATCAATTTAAAAAAATCTTTTATGTTTATTAAGTTTATGTTTATTAAATAAATAGATTGACTTGGCAATCGCACTAAGCAATCTAATTTAATATAATATGTATTACTTGTGAGATACATTGTGTTTTCATGCGATGTCCCAAGCCAATCTAAGAACTGAGTTGCGAGACTTGTTTTTTTTTACAAGTTGTGTTTTTGATGGCATTGATTTTAGCCCGACCCGGGTTTTGACCTAGGGACCACACGATTAGCAGTAACACTAGTTCTATGGGACTAGACTATGTCAACAGAACAATTTTTTGTTTGTCCCCGCGGTTGTTTCCGAGTTATTAGTCAATAGCGGAGAGAAATTCAAAGCGGTAAACATTTTGGGGCTCTCCGTGGTAAAGCCATACTGCAGCTATATGAATAGTATAGTAGCATGAAAGGGTCGGCTCGAGGACAAGGATCAAGAAGGTTCTCACTGAATACCGGTGTAAAATAGCAGCTTAACCTGCTGTGTTTCGTATGGTGAGTGTAGAGAAACGGACACCCATTTTACTGGAAATGAGGCATTCCATCTTAGCCCTCACGGGTGATAACGCGTTTACTTTTTGATTCATAACCGAGGATAAATGTAGATGTCTATCGGCCACAGCAATCACTTACTATCAGGTGGTTTGGGTGCTCATTTGTCACCCTTGTCCTATAAAAAAAAACAAAGTTAGAAATTGTGGTTGCGTTACTTTAATGCCCCTTCATTTTTGTCAACCATATAGTGGCTGTGTATAAATATTCACTATCCCATATCGTCTCATGGGTACCGTAAGAGGCGGCTAAGTGATGGGGCAGCAACTTGTAATAACAACTAAAAAAAATTGTGGTTGCTACTCAGGCGGGTTGCCACCCGTGGTAACTTTGGCATTATTTTCCCTTATGAGAAGGGCTGTATTCAGCTGTGGACTTTGATAGTTTGTTAGGAAGAATAAAAATTTTTTTTGCAATTACTTGAATTTGTAGTAAAAAAATGTTGTTTTTTTATATAAGAAAAAGGTGACAAGCGAGCACACAGTCCACCTGATGGTAAGTGGTTGCTGTGGCCCGTAGACATCTACATCTATCGTCGATTACGAATCAAAATGCAGATGCATTGTCACCCGTGAGGACCAAGATGGAATGCCTCGTTTCCAGTAAAACGGGTCTCTGGTTCTCTACTACACTTACCATACGAAACACAGCAGCATCAAGCTACTATTTTACGCTGGTATTCTGTGAGAGCGTGTTCCTTCCCCGGTCGACCCATTCGTGCTACAACTATACAATTAATATAGCTGCAGCCTGGCTCTACCACGTTGTGAAGTTTGAGGACCTATGGTATTCCGATACGTCACGCGCCCGATTAGTTCGCTTAACTAAGTTACTGGCTTCACACAAGGCAGCGTTTCTCTTATATATTATAATTGTGTGGTACGTTCGGTAGGTGGAGGCGGAGATGGAAGGTGAGGAAGAGGGAGAGGGAGAGGGAGAGGTTGAGGGTGAGAGTGAGCAGGAGCGCGCGGTGCTGCCGTCGCTGTGGCGCAGCGCGCGCGACTCCCGCGGCCGCACGTACTACTACCACGTGAAGCTGCGCCGCCCGCAGTGGAACCCGCCCACACCGCCCACACTGTCGCCAGGTAACACGCCTTGCCTGACGAGGTAAATAGGGGGAAGTTATCTCCTGACAGGGGTCGCATGGAGGCGATTTCTACTAGTGAGACCGCGGATTTATGCGATGCGTTTTCGTGGGCCTGCCAATATGCAAAAAACCTGTAGCATCATTGTGTTTTAGTTAGTACGAGTCCTACATAATCCCTCCTTCCCCAGTCAGCCGTGTATGCATTTCCCTTTGAAATAAATACAGTGTTAACATCTGCTTCTTCAATGTGCTAACTTCTAAATAACAACCTGAAAATAAGATTTTCAAAATTGAGGTCTTGGTGACGCAGTGACTAAGCGTTTGATTGTGAATCTGCGGACTTTTAATCTTGCGCGAAAGTATTATTTGTAAGGCTTACAAATAATTACATCTGGTCTAAATGTTGCTGCATGTGCATTTTATGTATTTTTAAATCCTCCGTGGTATAAGAAAAAGGTAATGTATAATTCTTCATGTAAAAAGAAAGAAATCATAAATATTGCTTTAAGACGACACCGTGAAAAAATGAGGTGCATTTTTTCACGGTGTCATAGTCCTCCTTTCATCGAATTACTATTCGATGAAAGGAGGACTATGACACCACTAACGAAAGTGGGATTTTGATATAGGTAAATTCATGTCTTTATCTTGAATTTGATTGCTCAAAAACACGATTGTATAATTTTGACTCGATCATAATTATTTGCGAAAACACCTCTAAAAATCACTATAGTTGAAATTACAACGAAATCATTTGATCTATATGCTTGGGAATCACTCAAATATATTCATAACATCAATATTCATAATTTACTTGCTCATTATTTTGAATTTTAAGATTCTGACAATTTCTAAGCGCTTTTAATCGTCGCGGGCGCTACGCAATTTTAGACCTTATGACGGCGTTTCTTCAAGTTTTTGTAGAAATTATGTATTCACTCGGATCAGTACGGCGATAGCGTTTTCGATGTGTCGTCTTAATTATATAAATTAATTTTTAGTATATTCTCGTAAATTGCTTATATTATAAACTGTCGTGAATTTTTGTACTTTTGTCAACTTTTAGTCGAGACTTTTATATCCGAAAGAGAGACGTAGATATAAAAATATATAAAAACATGATTTTATTTTGCTAGGAAGATTTTTGCTTGAGAAAGAAAAGGTCGGTTTTATAAACTAAAAATATTCAAGCCAAATTGTCATCCCTAGATGAGAGTTCTTCTGAAGATGAGGCGGAACCCATGAGCGCCTTGGACTCTGCTGTGGTGAGGCGGCAAGTGAAAGGCAAACTAGTGGAGGGAGTCAATGGCATATATGAAGGTATTTTTCATTCTAATATTTCTTATAAAACTTGTTAGTTATAATTTAATAAATTTAAAATAAGTTTCCTTTTCCTTACGAAATACCATTTTAGCTTAGAGTTTATCATTATCAGCATGATCTAAGATATGGGGATTGACATCTTAATACTTTAAGTGAGGAATTCTTGTATATATTGTACCCGTGCGGTTAAAGAATGGGATGGAAAATGGCGATGCCTCTATTTATCTCTCGCTCGCACATTGTTGCTACGAGGGGTGATCCAAAAGTAATGATAATGAAAATAAAACACGGTAATTAAAGTTAAAATAATAATTTATTTTCTACATAGTCTCCTAACAAATCAATACATTTAGTCCATCTTTTTTCTAAACCTAGGATTCCCTTTGAAAAAAATTCTTTGTCTTGACCCTCCCAAAACGCTTCAACAGCGGCCATTACTTCTCTATCTTCTGTCTTCGAATTTCTTGCCTCGGAGGCGTTCCTTGAGCCGAGGAAAGAGGTAGAAGTCACTAGGAGCTAGATCTGGCGAATAGGGAGGGTGTTCGAGCAGTTCGAATCCCGTTTCTTGAATGGCAGCCATCGCAACTGCGGCTTTGTGAGCCGGTGCGTTGTCTTGGTGAAACAGCACTCCAGCTCGCAGTTTGCCGCGTCTTTTTTCCTTAATGGTCTCCCGTAATCTTCTTATTTGGTCTGCGTAGTAAGAGCCTGTAATAGTGGCTCCCTTTTCCAAATATTCCACCATAATTATGCCTTGAGCGTCCCAAAAAACAGATGCCATAACCTTTCCCGCCGAACTTGAAACTTTGAATTTCTTTGGTGTCGGTGAGAAGGCTCGCTTCCAAGTCATCGATTGTTATTTCGTTTCAGGAAAACGGTGGATCCAGGTCTTGTCAATAGTCACAAAATGGAACAAAAAATTTTCTTGATCTGCTTGGAACTTTTCGAGATTGACCCTCGAAATGTCAACTCGATTTTTCTTTTGCTCGTCGGTTAACATTCTGGGTACCCAACGCGCGAGACCTTTTTCATATGCAACTCGTTCGCAAGGAATTCTTTGATCGTTGCAATACGAGATCCCTGTGACCAGCTACATGCCTGATGGTCACTCTTCGATCTGCCAACAAAATATCTTCGACTTTTTTCACGTTGTCTTCAGTGAGGGACGTGGATGAGCGTCCTTCGCGATGTTCATCTTCAGTGGATGTTCTGCCCAGTTTAAACTCCCTGGCCCAGCGTGCAACTGTAGAATATGGAGGAGCAGAGTCCCCCAATGTTTCCACTAAGTCACTGTGTATTTCTTTTGAAGACATTTTTTTCAAACAGAGGTACTTGATGACAGCTCTAATTTCGTTTTTCTCCATGTTGATGTTATCTCTTTGACAGTTCGTATTCAAATGAATGTATCTCCCGGAAATCGTGATCTATTTATATGATTTTTTTAGGCTGACGTAGTGAGTATATAAGCAAGCAAAAATATTTTTTTGGATTTTTATGCGGACCTGAAGTAACCGATTATCATTACTTTTGGATCACCCCTCGTATTTATACTCCCAACCGCCGATAAAGACTGCAAAAAAAAACTTTGCGATATGCGTTTTTCGTACATTCTATAACTTTAGTGCAACTTGTTATTGGAATAAATAATAAAAAAATGCCATAAACCACAAAAAATAGTCCGGTTTTGTTAATTCGTGAGCTACGACGTGTTCTCAGATTTCTTCATAATTTAATGATATTTAGCCATTGGGAAATAAGTAACCATTTTTTAAATTTTCGTTTGTCTGTTGGTCCGAGCTAATCTCCGGAATGGTTGAACCGATTGCAATAAAACTTCAGGAACGAATAGAGAGTAACACCAGGAGTGATCTAGATTAAATTTTATCACAAAAATTTAGAGATTTTATTAAAATAGAAATATTTTTTACGTGGTAGAGCCATGTTACAGTTATATTAGTAGTATAGTTGTAGTACGAATGGGTCGGCGCGACCGGGGAACGACCACGCTCTCACAGAATACCTGCTTAAAATAGTAGTTTAATGCTGCTGTGTTTCGTATGGTGAGTATAGAGAAACGGAGACCCTTATTACTGGAAACGAGGCATGATCAAATGATGCGTTGTCACCGGTGAAGACCTTAGTCCTCACCGGTGACAACGCATCTGCATTTTGGTTCGTAATCGAGGATGTACATGTCTATGGGCCAAAACAACCACTTACCATCAGGCGGACTGTGTGCTCGTGTCACCTGTCCTGTAACAATATATTGATAAGATAAAATGAATAGTCTGTAATGATTATCGTAAGTCTAAATAACGCCACATTATCAGAAATCACTCTGGCAAAGCCAAAGCGGGTCGCTAGTTATAAATTAATTTGTTAATGTACCTTCTTACGTGTACAGTTTTTTTAAAACTTCCCGTATTAGAAAATTTCCAATTAATCAAATTTATAAATTATAATTAACGTTATAACGATATACCGTTATTAGTTCGCTATTGGTACTGTACATGTTGACGGTACGTGCTCTTTGAGCCGCCATATCTAATCCCATACTTTATCCTTAAGAGCTATATATAT